ATCCTCAGAGGTAGTGAGGTCTGTTGGAAGTAGGACAATGGGTTTATATATCTGTGGAATGACTGGAATGGGGCAAAGAGCTCTTCTCTGCTGGAGCTAGGTGTGAATGTTTCATTCCACAGTCATTCCACAGATGTATAAACCCTTTTTCCTATTTCCAACAGACCTCACTACCTCTGAGGATGCTTGCCATAGATGCAGGCGAAATGTCAGGAGAAAATGCCTCTAGAACATGGCCATATAGCCCGAAAAAACTCACAAGAACCTACTGTATTTATTATTTACATGTAATGGCATTGAATTGTGCCGGATGTAAGCTGCCCTAAATCCCCCCCCCCCCGGGGGGGGGGTTGAGAAGGGCGGGGTACCAATGTTTGAAATAAATAAAATACCTGTATTATCCAAGTTGCGAGGTTAAGTCTACAATTCCAAAGTGGATGCCCAAGGGTAGCCTGGGTCTCAGTAAACACGAAAGATCAAGGGTCTTGGCTGTAGCATTGAAGTTGCAGACAGCAGTCAAGTAACAAACTCAGGTCTCTTAAATCCCATCTTCACAGGTGATACCTGTTGCTGGTTCTCTTCTCAGCTAGTCTCAAGGATCTTCACAGTGAGGCTATCCATGCCTTACCATCACAAATGCAGGAACAGTTAACCCCTCATCAGCCTGCTCAGCAGAAGTCTCTTGGATTTGGTCAGCAGGCTGAGGACTCATTCCTTCTATAGATGGTCCTTCAGGTGGCGGAGGGAGTTGCTATTCACTGCTAGGCTGTGCGTTCTCTCAGCAATTCGTCATGTAAGCTCTCCAGGCAGTCCATGCTAATCTTCTTTCCCCTTGAATTCATATTAATGATGATAGTGATGATTGCACAATGTAACATGAGTTTTGTTCCTGGGTTATAAATGTCATTTCCGAATTGGACCTATAATAAAAGACATGGAAAAAGTTAATCCCCTCCCAACAAAGGATTCCCCCAGACAGGAAGCAGCCAAGCTTAGAAGCCGCAAGGCTATTCAATGCTAATCAAGGTGGTCAATTACAACATTCACACTTGCCTCAAACAGATAAGAGTTCTTTCTCCCACTGTGGGAAATAAACCCCACTTACCTGACTTGGCCACGGTGGTCCATGCTCTAGTTACATCCCGAATAGATTACTGCAACGCGCTCTACGTGGGGCTGCCTTTGAAGACAGTTCGGAAACTTCAGCTAGTTCACCAGTCAGCAGTCAGACTACTAATTGGGGCGATATACAGGGAGCATACCACCCCCCTGTTGTGCCGGCTCCACCGGCTGCCGGTCCACCTCCGAGCCCAATTCTAAGTGCTGGTTTTGACCTATAAAGCTCTATATAGTTCTGGCCCAGCTTACTTGTCCGAACGCATCCACCCCTATGTCCCACCTCGAAACCTAAGATCATCCAGGGAGGCCCTGCTCTCGCTCCCATCAACAGCACAAATGCGCCTGGAAGGAACGAGAGACAGGGCCTTCTCGGTGGTGGCCCCCCGCCTATGGAACACACTCCCAACTGAGGTAATATCGGCCATCTCCCTCCTGGTTTTTCGAAAGAAACTAAAGGCATGGTTTTGGGCCAGGCTTTTGAACAATAGATGCAAGCAGCACTTTAAGGGAATGTGACTGGAATGACGATATGGCCCATTAGAGTTAGTGGGCCAAAGCTAGTGTCGTCCTGAGGAGACTGAGTAGTCCAAAGCCTGTTAGAGATAGTGTGCTAAAGCTAGTGTCGTCCTGAGGAGCGTGAGGTAAACCTCTGTGTCAGAGAAGCCTTGTGTGAGCAAACTCCAGTGTGAAGGCTGCTGTGTGTAAAACTACTATTCATTTGTTTATTTGTGTTATGGAAACCTTATTCTTGTAAATAGTGCAACCATATTATTTTACTACAAAGGAAATCCTCATATGGAAGAGATAACATTATCTCTTCCATAACATTATTTCTTATCGCTGACCTGTGTCGCCTTTGGGCTGATATGGGCAGGGTAGAAATAGCGTAAATAATAAATAAATAAACATTATTCTGTGTGTCACTTTGGGCTAGTGGTGCTGGGTCACACTGCTGCTACTAAGTTATTCTGCTGTACAATTACGAGGAGGGTCTTTTGTTAATAAGCCCACTCGCCCAAAAAATGCTTCTTTGTTTTTACCAGAACTCCCTGATGTGATATTAAAGGTAGAAGACGAAGATGAAGAGGAGGTCAAATGCCTGAAACTGAAATCCCAACAAGAAGGGAAGTCACTGAATTCATCTCTCCAGGAACAAGAAAATTCAGGTGAAGAGTGGTCTCATGGTTGTCTTTCCTTTCCATCAGATATGTCTGCCAGAATCTCACAATTTACCCTAGGAATTAAGCTGGGATCCCGTTGACGTACAGTAAGATCCACCAGCACTCTTTTGCACAGGAGACTATGTAAAACTATGACTCTCATTGAGCCACCACAGTGAAAGTGGTGTCAAACTGCATTAATTCCATAATGTAAATGCATCTTGTCTGAATGTTATGGTGAGCCCTAGAACCATGATCTTCCCGATTCCAGCCCTACACACTAATCCAGTGGTTCTCAAACTGATCCTCCAGGTGTTTTGGACTTCAGCTCCCACAATTCCTAATAGCTGGTAAACTGGCTAGGATATCTGGGAGCTGAAGTTCAAAACACCTGGAGGAGCACAGTTTGAGAAACACTTCTCTACTCAGTACATTGCTCTGCCTAACAGTCAATCTAGAAAATCATTTCACTGCAGAATCGTGTCCAGGATGAAGAGCTGGGCCATCAGTAATCGATTCTGCCTAAATGTACAGAATAATGTAAATGCATTATTTTGCTTTTCCAGTTACTTTTTAAAAACAGAGTTAATTGGTTTTTTGTGATCTTGCATTGACTTTGTAAAACTTTTATTCTGCAAGAGTAATTTTAAGAATGAATGAATCAAAATGATTAATGTAGTTTTTTCATAAGGTTAAGTGAGAATAATATTCCACATTATTTGTTATGACTTGTTTTATTTATGTTGATTTAAATTGTTTGACTTGTTATGTGTTTCATTATTATTTACTAGCTTGGGTACCTTGCGTTGCCCGGGTTATTTGAAAAAGTCAATTTTTAAAAATTGAACAAAATGCGTAAGATTTTGGGTGAACTACAACTCACATCACACCAGGTTAACCCCCAAAAAACCATCAGTACTTTAAGTTTGTTACGTTCAGCAAGTTTGCTCTAGATGCTCTCTGGCAGTAGAGTAAGCTACAACTCCCACTATGGTGAGTCAGTCCCCTCAAATCTCTCCAGTAGGTTCAGTTCGTCATAGGGGTTCTGTGTGCCAAGTTTGGTCCAGGTCCAACATCGGTGGAGGTCACAGTTTCCCTAGTTGTCGGTGAACTCCAGCTCCCAGAAAAGAATATCAGTTCCCCACAAACCCCTTCAGTAATCAAATTTCAGCATATTGGATATGTGTGCCAAGTTTGGTCCAGATCCATTGGTGTTTGGGTTCACAGTGCTCTCTGGATGTAGGTGAACTACAACTCTTCCAAATCAAGGTGAATTTTCCCCAAAGACCTCCAATATTTTTTGCTGGTCATAGAAGCTCTGTGTGCCAAATATGGTCCAATTCCATGTTTGGTGGAGTTCAGTGTTCTCATTGATTGCAGGTGAACTATAAGTGTCAAGGAAAATTCCCCTCAAAACCCACCAGTATTCAAATTTGGGCATTTTGGATATGCATACCAAGTTTGGTCCAGATTTATAATTGTTTGAGTTCATAGTGCACTCTGGTTATAGGTGAACTACAACTCCTATAAATCCCTCCAAAGGACTCAGTATTTTTTTGTCGGGGGTTCTGTGTGCCAAGTGAGTTCCAGGTCCATTGTTGGTGGAGTTCAGAGTGCTCTTTGAATGCAGGTGAACTATACATCCCAGTACCTACAACTCCTATAAATCATGGTGAATTATCCCCAAACCTCTCTAGTATGTTCACTTGCTGATCAATTCCTCCGTTTGCTGTGTGCCATAGAAAAAAATAGGAAAGCATTAAGGCAGAGGCAGTGGGTGGGATCATGCATATTCCATACCAATGGAGAGAGTAAGAAACATTAGGATGTCTGTGATGGAGGAAACACATAAAATCTAGGATGAAATTGTCCCCATATGAAAGCCTTCACTTGGGTAGAGGACAGTATGGTGTTTGTGGAAGACATTGGCAGGGCTCTTGTACATGTTCATGGCACCCACAATAACTTGCAGTGTCATTGGAGGGAGGGCCATTGGTGTCTCCTGAGTAGTGGGGGCTATAGCTGTTTGTTGAGGCAGGAGATTGTCTATGTAAGTGGACAGCGCAGCCACACACGTACATATTTTCACATTTATTATGTTTAATTTATAGATGCTATTGGTTTGTTGTAAGCCGCTCAGAGTCCCTTTGGGAGATGGGGCGGGATATAAATAAAGCTTCATTCATTCATTCATTCATTTTGTTGTGTTGTTGTGTGCCATCAGGCTAGTTTTGAATTATTATTATTATTATTATTATTATTATTAAAGCATTTTTTGTTACTCACCTCTCCTAACAGTTCAAGACAACCAAGTCAAATCATATCATCATAAATAAAATACATACAATGCATATTACATACCAAAACAGGACCCCAACTGGGAGAAAGGCAGACTATAAAATAAATAAAGGACTTACCCTGTGCATGAGAGACCTTCAAGAGCCCCCAAACCCTGCTCAGATCTTCTAAACTCAGAGCAACTTTGACTGATTGACCCCTGTAATGCAGTCTCCTTCTTTTCCTATTAATTTCCATTTTACCAAGCATCATTGTCTTTTCCAGTAAGTCACATTGACTCATAGCGTGTCCAACATAGGAGAGTCTCACTTTGTCATCTTCACTTCAATCAAGTTTACATCTAGCAAATGTGTAGGGAAATGCTTTGAATAACTGAAATGCTATACCGATGTTAAATGCTGGTGATCTCTTCCTTCTGACCAGATTTCCCTTCTGTAATCATAAAGAAGGAAGAAGAAGAAGAAATTTGGGTCATATATCAACATGGTTCCGAGGGAAATGAAAGCTTTCCAGCTGCTTCTTCAGGTAACGGTTATGTTGAACCAAGTCCGGGTCCCTGTTTAATATACCAATGCAATTCTCTGTTCAACTTCCAGTGAACATTGAACAGATTGTGATGAGCAACCCATCTGAGGTGTGAAGTGTGTGTTGCTGTTGTTGTTATGTCATTTTGTGGTGTGTGCTGGGGAAGGCATTTAATTTCATTGTGCAATAGTACAATGACAATAAAGCTACCGTATATACTCGAGGATAAGCCGAGTTTTATTATTATTATTACATTTATTATTTTCTCTATTATTGTTATTATTACATTTATTATTTTATTCTATTATTACATTTATTATTTTACTCAATTATAATTATTACATTTATTGTTTTACTCTATTGTTATTACATTTATTATTTACTCTATTTATTACTGTTATTTTTACATTTATTATTTTACTCCATTTATTTCCCTCTTTGTTCCTACAGAAAACGACCGCCTGAGAGGCTGCATGAGAGATAAAGAAAATAAATGCTCAGACTGTGGGAAGACTTTCACTCAAAGGTCCAGCCTTATCAGGCATGAGAAGACGCATACAGGAGAGAAGCCGTACCAGTGCTCTGAGTGTGGAAGGAGTTTCAGCCAGAGGTCCATCCTGACCCGACATGAGAGGACCCACACTGGAGAAAAGCCATACAAATGCTCGGAGTGTGGGAAAAGCTTCCGCCACAAGTCGGCCCTTCTCAGGCATGAGAAGATGGAAGCTGGGGAGAGGCCTTACGAATGCTCACACTGTGGGAAGGCCTTCATTCAGAGGTCAAATTTCCTCATCCATGAAAGGATCCATACTGGGGAGAAACCGTACCTGTGCTCCGACTGTGGGAAATGCTTTGTCCAGCGGTGGCACCTCCTCATCCATGAGATGACCCACAAGCAGGAGGAGACGTACCAATGCTCCAGGTGTGGGAAGAAGTTCGTCCACAGCTTGAGCCTTCTCATCCATGAAAGGAGCCACACAGGGGAGAAAGTATATCAGTGCTCCGAATGCGAGAAAGGCTTTGCTCAGAGGTCTAGCCTTGTCCGACACGAGAAAACACACACGGGAGAGAAACCTTACAAATGCCTTGAGTGTGGGAGAAGTTTCAGTCAGAGATCTATCCTTACCAGACATGAAAGAACCCACACGGGAGAGAAACCGTACAAGTGTTCCGAATGTGGGAAAAGCTTCCGCCACAAGTCGGCCCTGTTGAGGCACGAAAAGATGGAAATGGGGGAAAGGCCATATAAATGCTTACACTGTGGAAAGGGCTTCATCCAGAAGTCCAACTTTCTCATACACGAACGAATTCATGCGGAAGAGAAACCCTATCAGTGCCTAGAGTGTGGAAAGCGCTTCGTTCAGAGGTCACACCTTCTTGTTCACAAGATGACGCATAAACAAGATGAGCCCTATCAGTGCTCAAAATGTGGGAAAAAATTCAATCACAGCTTAAGCCTGATTATCCATGAGAGGAGCCACGCGGGGCGGAAACCATATCAGTGCCCTCGCTGTCAGAAAATGTTCGCCACTAAAATGAACCTTATCAGACACACTAAGGAACATAAAGGACAGAAGCTGTGTGCATGTTTACACTGTGGGAAACACTTCAGTGATCGGTCAGCTTTCATCAGGCACAAGAAAACGAATGTGAGAGGGAAGTCCTATTGGTTCTCAGGATGTGGAAAAAACATCATTCAAAAATTCAAGGTCTTGGCTCATAAGAGACCTTGTAATGAAGAGACGCTGTATAATTGCTCCGTCTGCAATAGAAGATACCACCTGAAGTACAACCTTCTCATACATGAAAGAGCCCACATGAGGAAGAAGCTGGATAAATGTTCAGAGTATAGCCAAACCTTCAGCCAGAAATCCAACTATATTGCGTACACAGGAGAAAAACCCCATAAATGCTCTGACTTTGGGAGTCCTTTCAAAGATCAGCGACACCTCATGAAACACCAGAAGATCCATGCAAGCAAAAAGTCTTATGCATGTCATGAGTGTGGAAAAAGCTTTAATGACAAATCAACCCTGGTTGTGCACAGGAAAGCCCACACCAAGGAAACCGCTTCGAGTCGCCTCCGGGCTGATAAGGGCGGTATACAAGTATAGTAAATAAATAAATAAATAAATGCCGTATAAATGAGTCGAGTGCCATAAACAGGGTTCCATCCTGGGCCCGGTCTTGTTTAACATCGTTATTAATGACTTAGATGGAAGGTTAGAAGGCAAGATCATCAAGTTTGCAGACAACACCAAATTGGGAGGGATGGCCAATACTCCAGAAGACACGAGCAGAATTCAAAATGATCTTAACAGCTTAGGGAGATGATTGACTAAAACTAACAAAATGACGTTCAGCAGTGACAAATGCAAGATACTCCACTCTGGCAGAAAAAATGAAATGCAAAGATACAGAATGGGGGACGATGCCTGGCTCCAGAGCAGTATGTGTGAAAAAGATCTTGGGGTCCTTGTGGACAACAAGTTAAGTCAACAATGTCATGCGGCAGCAAAAAAAGCCAATGAGATTTTGGCCTGCATCAATAGGAGTCTTGTACTTAGATGCAGAGAAGTTAGGCTACCCCTCTATTCTGCCTTGGTCAGATCACATGGGAATATGGTATCCACTTCTAGGCATCGCAAGGGAAGGGAGATGTCACCAAGCTGGAATGTGTCCAGAGGAGGGCAACTCAAATGATCAAGGGTCTGGAGAACAAGCCCTATGAGGACAGAGTGGCTTAAAGAGCTGGGCATCTTTAGCCTGAAGAAGAGAAGGCTGAGAGGAGACATGATGAAGGCCATGTATAAATATGTGAAGGGAAGTCATAGGGAGGAGAGAGCAGGCTTGTTTTCTGGTTCCCTGGAGACTTGGATGCGGAACAATGGCTTCAAACGACAGGAAATGAGATTTCACCTGAACATGAGGAACTTCCTGACTGTGAGAGCTGTTCAGCAGTGGAACTTTCTGCCCGGAGTGAGGTAGAAGCTCCTTTTGAGGCTTTTAAACAGGGACTGTGGCTTCAGATTTTGTCAGGACTTTCAAGGAGCTTTCCAGTGTGTTGCTTCAACACCTTTAATATCTTAAATATTCAAACTGAAGCAGTCATCTCATTACTGAAAAAGGATGCCACCAGACATCACAATTTAGGGAAGCAAAGCAGAAGTATGGAATGTAATTAGTTTTGCTATTGATGTTATTCCAATTTTATTCCTTGCTGTTTGTTTCATTGTTTTGACTTCGATGTAATCATTTGATTGCCATAAGCTAACTGGACAGCAAAGCAAAACTGTTAATAAATAGATTTCACAAATAAAAAGAGTAATTTTTGATGATGATGATGATGATTATTATTATTCTGCCCATCTGCCCTAGGTGACTCAGAGCAAATTACAGCATTTATATACATAGGCAAACATCCAATGCCTTTACAATCATATACAATGGGACAGATAAACACAAACAACAGCAAAGGCTTCCCCTTTCATTTCCAGCTTCTGGAGGCAGTACTCATCTCTGGCTTTGGGGAGGTGCTTTTATATCTCCATTTTCAAGCCGAAGACCCTGCGTTGTTACCTCCTGGTTGTGTGGCCGGCAAGATTGTTTGGAGTGTCTTTTTGCTTTTTGTTGCTGAAGCAGTACCTATTTATCTACTCACATGCTAGGTTGCCAGGAACTGGAGCTTACACACCGAAGCTCATCTCATCTTGTGGATTCGAATTGCCAATCTTCAGATCAGAAGTTCAGTGGCACAAGAGTTTAACCCATTGCGCCACCGCGGCCCTGAATGTTTTTGCAATTTACATTGGTCCTGAATCTCTACTGCAGTCTTATGTTATAACTTCAAGCATGCTTAGTTATTTTGCAGAGGCGCTAAGGTACCCCATTAGTGAACTACCTTTACTGATTGTTGGCAGAGACTTTCCAAATTTATCCTACTTTTTCAGTTGCTTTCAAGATAACTGAAACTTAGAATCATAGAATCAAAGAGTTGGAAGAGACCTCATGGGCCATCCAGTCCAACCCCCTGCCAAGAAGCAGGAATATTGCATTCAAATCACCCCTGACAGATGGCCATCCAGCCCCAACTTCTCATTTCCCAGTAGGCTCAGGCAAATCGAACGGCTACAACCTCTCCCAACTTCTTTCCTCTTCCACAGTAATAACATTCTTCATCTTGACCACATGCTGATGTTGCTTGGTCACATTTCCCAGTTTTTATCTGTGAAATGTTGTAGGTTATGCATTCTCTTTTGCTGAGGGTTCATTCTGCCCTAAGCATACTTACACTCCCTACATATAAATGTGTTGGACATTAGGTTCAATGCCTAGGGAAATCACTGGAAAATAAAACTAAAATTCCCAGACCTCTTTACTCAATATGGGGTCCACCTATACTAGGCATGGGCAAACTTCAGCCCTCCCGGTGTTTTGGACTTCAACGCTTATATTTCCTAACAGCTGGTAGGTCCAAAACCTTGGGGGTCCAAAACAGATGGAGGGCTGAAATTTGCCCATGTCTGATCTATATACTGTGGAATTAATGCATTTTGATACCTCTTTAATTGCCATGACTCAATACTATGGAATCCTAAGATACAGCCTTCTTGATCAAAGAATGCTGGTGCCTCAGCAAACTACTACTAGAAAGAAATGCCACACTCACTTTATTTTCCATACTATTCAATTGTAGCACTCAGTTATACATTCTGGAATGTGCAGTTTGACAAGAGAAATCTCCCCACTTCACAAATCCCAGGATTCCATAGGACAGAACCATGCCAATTAATACATTATCAAAGCACTATAATTAAATGTTGAAAGAGGTATCAGACTGGAACAATATGCACATTTGCCAGCAAATAAGCTCCAGTGATTTCAATGGGACTACTTTGTAAGCATGACTAGAACTGTTTCAGTGTAATTCCCCCATCCTCTCGTTTCTGTTTTTCTCTCTGCTATCTTGCAACGGATTATACAGTCGACCCTTCACAAATGCGGGTTTGACCTTCGTGGATTTGACAATTCCATGGATTATTTGACACTTTCTCTGCTGCTTAGTAGAGATTTATATAAGTCTATGAGGAGCAGCTTAAAGAGCTGGGCATGTTTAGCCTACAGAAGAGAAGGCTGAGAGGAGACATGATGAGGGCCATGTATCAATATGTGAGGGGAAATCATAGGGAGGAGGGACCAAGCTTGTTTTCTGCTGCCCTGGAGACTAGGATGTGGAACAATGGTGTCAAACTACAGGAAAGGAGATTCCACCTGAATATGAGGAAGAACTTCCTGACTGTGAGAGCTGTTCAGCAGTGGAACTCTCAACCCTGGAGTGTGATGGAGGCTCCTTCTTTGGAGACTTTTATGCAGAGGCTCGATTGCCATCTCTTGAATGTGATTTTCCTGTTTCTTGGCAGGGGGTTGGACTGGATGACCCACAAGTTCTCCTCCAACTCTATGGTTCTAGAGAATGGGAAAACTTGTGAGATGAAAAACCTTTTTTGCAGCTTTTTGGTAGGAGGTTGAACTGGATGGCCCATGAGTTCTCTTCCAACTCTATGATTCTCACCTGCAAGTCTCACAAGACTGAGGGAGACTGCAAATGTGAAACTCCCTAACACTCCCTTATTATGCAGTTGTTATTTCTGAGTTCATTACTTCTCTCTCTCTAAGCTTCGTTTTTTAACTGCACCATTTTTCTTCTCCACTGTAATCTCCTGCTTTGTTTTCGGAGGGATAAGCAAATGTCCAGCATTGACTAGACGCACAATTATTTCTTGAAACAGAACCGTTATTTATTGAGGCACACCAGGGGTGTAGCTACAGAAGAGGTGAAATGAGAGCACCCCAAATGAGAACTGCCCCCCCCCCCCCAAAATGTCCCTTCTCAAATTCCTGGTACTACAGAAGTGAGGCTGCACAAATTCTTCAGATCTATGACTCTTACATTTTAGTACTCAATGCTTCCTTGGGAATTCTGCTTGCTTTTTTTGGCATGCTAACATTCTATTTCTAAATGCTGCGAATAGAAGAAAGTCAATAGAAGATATTTGAGAAAAATAGAAAACTTCACAGGAAAGGTGGCATACTTAGATGGGTAATGCCTTTGTTTCCTCCATCCCAACACCTCCACTCCCAAAACCTCCCCTCATAAACCCCTTTGCAAAAGACAGGAGAAGGAACGGAATGGGGATGAAGAAAGATATGTTCTGCTAGCTGTCAAGAGGCAGCATAATCTTGCACTTGGGATAATGTATGAGGGTTATCCGGAAAGGAAGGTTACAAGGCACGTAGCTCTTACAGGGAATTTTCTTGGGGAAAGTTGGTGTCACTGTCGTGTAGCGGGAAACAAGTGGAAGCGAACGAGCAGGGTCAGTTATCAGTAGCTCATCAACTGACATTGTCGTGAAGGTTTGAGATGAGCATTCAAGTCCGAAGTTCGCACTGTACAAGGGATATCTGGAAAGTAAAGTTACAAGATTTTTTTTTAAAAAAAGAATGAATATATTTTAATCAAACTTGCATGGATTGTAGTATAGGCATTACATTATTTTTCCACATAATCACCATTCTGCTCAATACATTGTGTCATCCGTAGGACGAGTTTTTTGATGCTTGTGTCATAGAAGTCTCTCACCGCCTTTTTCAGCCACATCATCAGTCACTATGGATGGCTGTCAACATCTGTCTTCATTGTGAATTTCCGTCCTTCCGCTATTGAAATTCCATACCCATTTTGCCACATGCAGTCTTGACATTATGTCCTCTCCATAAACTGAAATGATCTCACGATGAATCACAGCAGCGTGCATGCCCTTAGCATTTAGGTAGCATATTACAGTGCAAACTTTGCACTTTGAGGGAAACGGAATGAGGACACTTATCTCTAACTTTCACCACAACACCAGTAGATGAGCGAATGACGACTGGCACTGTTCGTTCACTTCCGCTGGCTTCCTGCTACACGACAGTGATAACAACTTCTCCCGCAAAAATTCCTCATGAGAGCTACGGGTCTTGTAACCTTACTTTCTGGATAATCCTCGTATTTAATGAAGCGGTAGGTTAGAAAAGTCAACCCCAGGAGCCAAGGAGTGCCTATACTTGGCATAAACTACAGTAAAATGTATATCCCCTCTTAACACACAACACTCTTTTTGGACTTAAAGGAAATTGCTACTTCCAGAAGAAGAAAACCAACACACAAATGGGGAGAAGGGAGCAATGGTCAGAAAACAGAGTGTCACGCTGGCCATACCCCTGTCAAGTGTCAAATTTGCAATACAACAATCAATAGGTTGTTGTAGGTTTTTTCGGGCTATATGGCCATGTTCTAAAGGCCTTCTCTTCTGACATTTCGCCTGCACTATGGCAAGCATCCTCAGAGGTAGTGAGGTCTGTTGGAACTAGGAAAAAGGGTTTATATATCCGGGCCGCCTCCTCCTCGCCTATTTTGGATGCTTTCCTTCCTTCCCTCCTTCCTTCGTGGGATCCTTCCTTCCTTCAGGATCACAGCTCCATCTTGGCTGCCTCCTTCTCCACAGAGCAGGAGAAGTGGGCCATAGAGAAATAGCTGTGTGTTTGGGCCACCTGTGGGAGACCCTGCGTGCTTTTGGATTCTTTGGGTAGACCCGCTGGGTCCATGGAGAAGGAGGCAGCCAGGATGGAGCTGTGATCCGGAAGGAAGGAAGGAAGGAAGGAAGGAAGGAAGGAAGGAAGGAAGGAAGGAAGGAAGGAAGGAAAGCATCCAAAACAGGCAAGGAAGAGGCGGCCCGGATATATAAAGCCTTTTTCCTAGTTCCAACAGACCTCACTACCTCTGAGGATGCTTGCCATAGTGCAGGCGAAACGTCAGGAGATAATGCCTTTAGAACATAGCCATATAGCCCGAAAAAACCTACAACAACCCAGTGATTCTGGCCAGGAAAGCCTTCCACAATACAACAACCAATAGTTTTTTGTTCCAAAATGCTGTGTCGAAGACATCTTTACCCCTCTGGCTCATTTCAAGGCCAAAGAGAGTCTATTTTTACAGCAGAAAGTAACTAAGTGTTTTCTGTTTATTTCCTATTTTTAAGGCCCAAAGAGGCAAAAATGAAGTCAAATTGTCCTCCATGCTTCCAAAAGACATTGAGAGGCACTGAGGGTAATTTTGATTACAAAATGGACTGAGGAGAAGAAACATTGGCCTGGTGGGTCATAATTTGTCCACCCTGAGATAACTCCTCACATTTGAGTGTACAAGAGACCTTTTGGTGTCCCCTCCAAAAACATCAAAGTAAACTTCCAACCATTTTCCAGTTTTAAAAAATGTGAGGGAGGGGGAAAGTATTTGGAAAAAAAATGCAGTCTATGATGGGAAGCAAAAAATCACCTCTGGCTGCACCCAAGTTGTCGATCCCTACTTTGTACAAACAGCATCTGCATGCAAAAAGGGATCAGGACTGCAATCCAATGCAGCATATAAATAAAGTTTTTAAAATGCTACAGCTGATCGTGATTAGTTGACCAAAATCAACTGATTAAGCATCTGTAGGCTGTTCATCAATCTGCATCACATGGAACCGGGAGTGATGGCCCAATGGAGAACCTGCATAAGGCCACCGACAATCACGGTAGGGGAAACATCTCAAGGAGTTTCATAGCTCTCTAACATAAACTCTGACAGTTTTCTTCCACCAGAGATTCCACGAGAGAGATAAGTCCCCCTGAAATACTAGACCAAAACCCCCATTATTCTTATTAGTCATTATAGCTTATGGGAGTTGTGGCCCAAAACATCTCAAGGGTACCAACTTGCTCATCGGGTTGCTGTGAGTTTTCTGGGCTGTATGGCCACATTCCAGAAGCATTCTCTCCTGACGTTTTGCCCACATCTATGGCAGGCATCCTCAGAGGTTGATGGGTCTTTTGGAAACTAGGCAAGTGGGGTTTGTATATCTGTGGAATGTCCAGGGTGGGAGAAAGAACTCTTGTCTGCTTGAGGAAAGTTCGAATGCTGCAAATGGCCACCTTGATTAGAACTAAATGGCCTTGCAGCTTCAAAGCCTGGCTGATGGGTGCCTGGGGAAATCCTATTGTTGGGAGGTGTTAGCTGGCTCTGATTGATTATTGTCTGGAACTCTCCTACTTTTTGGGTGTTGCTCCTTATTTACTGTCCAGATTTTAGATTGTTTTAACACTGGTAGCCAGATTTTGATCATTTTCATGGCTTCCTTCTTACTGTTGAAATTGTTCACATGCTTGTGGATTTCAACAGAAAGGAGGAAACAATGAAAATGAACAAAATCTGGCTACCAGTATTTTAAAATTTCTAAAATCAGGACAGAAAATAAAGAGCAACACACACAAAAAAATTCCAGACAAGAAACAATCTGGGCCAGCTAACACCTCCCAAAAACAGGATTTCCCCAGGCAGCAATCAGCCAAGCTTTGAAGCTGCAAGGCCATTAAATGCGAATCAAGATGGCCAATTGACACAATCAGACTTGCCTCAAGCAGACAAGAATTCTTTCTACATATATTCTTCAATAAACTGCTTGATGCTTTTACCCAGCTGGTGCAGTGTTTAATCATCTCCCAACAAAGGATTCCCCCAGGCAGCCATCAGCTAGGCTTTGAAGCTGCAAGGTCTTTACATACTAATCAAGGTGGCCAGTTGTAACATTCACACCTGCCTCAAGCACACAAGAGTTCTTTCTCCCACCTGGGACACTCCACAGATATATAAATCTTACTTGCTTAGTTTCCAACAGACCTCACAACCTCTGAGGATGCCTGTCATAGATGCAGGTGAAACGTCAGGAGAGAATGCTTCTGGAACATGGCCATGTTCCAGAAGCATTCTCTCCTGACGTTTCGCCTGCAACTATGGCAAGCATCCTCAGGGGTTGTGAGGTCTGTTGGAAACTAAGCAAGTTTCCAACAGATACAGCCTGAAAAACTCACAGCAACCCAGTGATTCTGGCCATGAAAGCCTTCAACAACAACTTGCCCATGCTTGCACTCTACTCTCCCAGCCTTTATGGGTTGTCTCCTCTGTGGGTTCTCTCGTGCTTATTAAGAATTGTTCTCCTAATGAAGCCTTTGCCGCAGTCTGAGCATTTAAACGGTTTTTCTCCCGTGTGGGTTCTCTCGTGCACAATGAGGCTGGAGCTCTGGTTGAACCCTTTCCCGCAATCTGAGCATTTGTAAGGCTTCTCTTCGGTGTGGATGCGCTCGTGCCGGATGAGGCTGGACTTGTCGCTGAAGCTTTTCTCGCAGGCCGTGCAGCTGTACGGCTTCTCGCCAGTGTGGATCCGCTCGTGTTTGATGAGGCTTGACCTGTCGCTGAAGCTCTTCCCGCAGTCAGAGCAGTTGTAAGGCTTCTCCCCGGTGTGGGTCCGTTCGTGGTTCGTCAGGTTGGATTTCCTGTTGAAGCTCTTCCCGCAAAAGGAGCAGTCGTAGGGCTTCTCTCCTGTGTGGGTTCCCTCGTGCCTGATGAGGTGTGAGCGGCTACTGAAGCTCTTCCCGCAGTCGGGGCATTTGAAGGGCTTTACCCCACTGTGGATCCGTTCGTGCGTCAGGAGGTGCGACCTTCGAACAAAGCACTTCCCGCAGCTGGAACATTTGAACGGCTTGTCCCCTCTGTGGGCTCTCTCGTGCTTATTGAGGCTCGATTTGTCACTGAAAGGCCTCCGGCAGTGCGAGCAGTTATAGGGCTTCTCTCCCGTGTGAATTCTCCTATGTATGACCAGGCTTGAATTCTGATTAAATCCTTTGCCGCAGTCTGGACATTTAAATGGTTTGAGACCCGTGTGCTTCATCTCATGAATCAAGAGATTCGATTTGTGAATAAAACCTTTGCCGCACAGGTCGCAACAGTACGGCTTCTCTCCCCTGTGGATCCTCTCGTGTGCGAGAAGACTGGAGCTTTGGATAAATCTCTTATCACAAGCTGAACACTGAAACATCTTCTGTTCCCGGTGGATCCGCTCGTGCCGCACCAGCGTCGAACTCTGATTAAATCTTTTCCCGCACTCCAGGCATTTATACGGCCTCTGCTCTGTGTGGCTCCTCTCGTGCCTGATCAGGCTGGAGCTCTGGTTGAACCTTTTCCCACAGGACGAGCAACTGTAGGGTTTTTCGCCTGTATGTTTCCGCTTATGCCGGATCAGGCTGGACCCGTCGCTGAAGCTGTTCCCACACTCCGAGCAACGGAACGGCTTTTCCCCAGTGTGGATTCTCTCGTGGGTCCGAAGGTTGGATCTTTTCATGAAGCTTTTAGCACAGCGGGAGCATTTGTGCGGTTTGTCGGCCGTGCTTTGGCTCTCATGCTTGATAAGGTCCGGTCTATCATTGAAGCTTCTCCCACAGCCAGAGTAATAGGGAAGTTCTCCCACAAAGAACCTTTCATGGCCACCTCCTGCTAAAAGAAATAAGAGAATTAGTGTTGCATATCAGCTTGTTCAGCCTGTGATTGTGTCTGATATTCATGTGGATATTTATCATGACAATGAGGATGATGTTCATGTTAATATTCATAAAGGGAACACATCTCATCACACTAAAACAGTGGATGTGGCTCTTAATGAGACATGCCGCATTATCACGGGGTGTCTGCGCCCTACACCACTGGAGAAATTACATGGCTTAGCTGGTATTGCACCACCTGACATCCGCTGGGAAGTAGCAGCCAATAGTGAAAGGACCAAGGCAGTGACATCTCCAGCTCATCCCTTGTTTGGGTATCAGCCAGCACATCAACGACTTCAATCAAGAAATAGTTTTCTAAGATCTACAGAGACACTCGCCGGAACACCTCAGCAAGTGAGAGTCTAAAAGTGGCAGGCTCAAACCCAGAAGCTCAACCAATGGCTGATACCAAATGAGAGACTCCCCCTGGGCACACAGAGGACTGGGCGGCTTGGAAGGTGCTGAACAGACTGCGCTCTGGCACCACAAGATCCAGAGCCAACCTTCAGAAATGGGGCCACAAAGTGGAATCCTTGACATGCGAGTGTGGAGAAGAGCAAACCACTGACCACCTGCTGCAATGTAACCTGAGCCCTGCCACATGCACAATGGAGGACCTCCTTGCGGCAACACCAGAGGCACTCCAAGTGGCCAGATATTGGTCAAAGGACATTTAATCAACTACCAAACTCACAAATTTTGTATTTTGTCTGTTTGTTTGCTTTGTTCTGTTAGAAATGTAATATAATTGACTGGTTGCCCTGACATGACAATTGGGTCAGGATCTGGTGAATTTGGGGATGAGGGGCCTGAATGGAGTTTAACAGAGAGGCCAGGGAGGCCTGAGTTGTTGCAAGAGGATTCTCAAGGTTTGGGAAAGGCCTTTCGCCAAAGTTCCCTGGTCAGTTATCTGAGAATGAAGCTGACTTGGATGCACCTTGAACAGGAAAAGAAGTTTTAGTAAGCAGAGGCAGTCCGGGCAGCAATAAAGATGCTCTGCTCAGATTCAACAGAAGTTAGATAATAAACCAAAACTAAGAAAGAATCCATTCCTAGCGGTTTTGGAGTCAGGGAAGACTTTATAATGATGTATGAGAGATGACTGCTTCAGTTGAAGCAACGTCAGGACGACACCCAGTTTCATGCACCAAGGTCTGCCTAACTCATGTTCTGTCTATGGGATATGCTTCTGTATTGTTCGTGGATTTCTAAAAAAAACAAAACAAAACATGTTGTTTGCTGCCTTGAGTCCAATGAATGGCAGAATATAAATGATTAAGAGGAGGAAAAGGAGCTACTGTATTTCTTTAGGAGGGGGTGTTGTCTGCTTTCTGTTACATCACTTACGTCTCTAACCCTGATCCTTATGAAACATCACAACTGCAATTTGATCATGAAATTCTGCGTTTCTCAAACACAGATGATGCTCCCATGTGGCTTGCTTAGGTTAACCAAAGGGGCAGAAACAGAATATTGGACTGGATGAGGTTCTTGATTTGATTCAGTACATATGGTTCTTAGATTAGTAAAAAAGCTGATCAGATATTAATTGTACTCACCTATCTGGGACCCTTTGAATATCACACTTGCCTCTGAAACTGAGTGGTAAGGAACATAAGGTTCTTCTTCTTGTTCCAATTTTACAATCACATCGGGGAGCTCTGAGCAGAGAGGCAAAAAGGAAGAAGATGAAAGAAATCAAATAACAGCCTGGAAAACTCACAATAACCCAAATAACACTTAGTGCCAACTGATTTTTGTAGCAAAACTTGTAGCTTTCCTCAATCACTCAGAGCACAGCTAGGAACAGTGGTACCCTCTTTATCAGGCATGGGCAAACTTTGGCCCTCCAGGTGTTTTGACTTCAACTCCCAGAATTCCCAATAGCCGGTAAGCTGGCTAGGATTTCTGGGAGTTGAAGTCCAAAATGCCTGGAGGGCCAAAGCTTGCCCATGCCTGCTCAATATGATATTTGATTGCAACTCCCAACCGCTTTCACCAGCATAACTAATTCTGAAAAGCATCAGGGGTAGGGAAAGTGTCTTTTCTGGGCCTCTGAAACCCACTTGAATTCCCCAAGAAGTTCCCATATTGAAGCCTCCTCCCACCTCACTATACCAAAAAGATGTAAATTTACACGGAACGTGCCCTCAAAACTGCCCCAAAAATTATAAACTAGAAGCAATGGGACGTCACTTCCAGTGAGGTGTAAACATGAAAAATGACCTCTGACTCCTCTGCAGTTTTCCACCCTAATATATACCCATTCGCTCTCTTCTCATCTCAACCATTTTTCTGCAAATTTCAAGGTGGTAAACATGGATTCCAACTCTTTAATTTTGCAATATCTTACTCAAGGAAAATTTGAACAATGGGTCATATAATAATAATAATAATAATAATAATAATAATAATAATAATACTTTGTTTATATTTAGCCCTATCTCCTTGACTCAGGGCAGATCCCAGCATATATATACAGACACAGGCAAACATTCAATGCCTTTAAACAATGAAACACAAATACACAGACACAAAGGCAAAGGCTTTCCCTTTAATCTCTGGTTCTGAAGGTGGTGCTCATCTCCGGCTCTGGAAGCGGTGCTCAACTCAATTTCTGAAAATGTCTCCCCCTATTAACCATCACGGACCTTACGATCATCTGTGGAGGCCCTGCTCTCGGTCCCGCCACCATCGCAGTCACGTTTGGTGGGGATGAGAAACAGGGCCTTCTCCATGGTGGTCCCCCGGATAGGAGCTCCCTCCCTAAGAAGGTTAGATCTGCCCCCTCCCTCCTGACTTTTCGTAAGAAGCTTATATCCTGACTGTGGGAGCAAGAGTTCGTAGACTAAACGGATTTTATTGGTGAAGTTGAGATTTTATGGATCGTAATTTGGACTGATTTGGAGGATGTTTTAAGCCTGGTAAACTGTTTTTAATGTACATTTATAATCATTCTATGTAATTGTGTATTTTATTGCTACTTTTATATTGTACTGGCATCAAATTATTGCCTGCTGGTAGCCACCCTGAGTCCCTCTTCAGAGGTTGGGAATGGGATGGGATATAAATGTTCTAAATAAATAAAATAAATAAATTTCCGAGCTGAGAAGCCTGCCTTGTCCGTAGACACCTCCTGGTCATGTGGCCAGCATGACTGGATGGAGTGTCATTTACCTTCCCGCAGAAGCAGTACCTATTGATCTACTCATATTTGCATGTATTGTTGAAGGCTTTCATGACCGGAATCACTGGGCTGTTGTAGGTTTTTTTGGGCTATATGGGCATGTTCTAGAGGCATTCTCTCCTGACGTTTCGCCTGCATCTATGGCAAGCATCCTCACTACCTCTGAGGATGCTTGCCATAGATGCAGGCGAAATGTCAGAAGAGAATGCCTCTAGAACATGGCCATAAAGCCCAAAAAACCCTACAACAACCCATATTTGCATGTTTTCAAACTGCTAGGTTGGCAGGAGCTGGGGCTAACAGCAGGAGCTCATCCCAATCTGCAGATTCGAACGGCTAATCTTTTGGTCAGCAAGTTCTGCAGTTCAACAGTTTATCCCATTGCACCACCGCAACCCCTAGTCATACATGTGCTCCCTATTATTGTAATTATAAGAAGCTCCTGTTTATCTGACAGGTTAGAACAGGTATGGGCAAACACTGGCTTTCCAGATGGTTTGGACTTCCAACTCTTACAATTCCTAACAGTCTTGGGTCCCTTCCTTTTCCCCCTCAGCAGCTTAAGCGGAAAAGGAAGGGGCCTGAGGAATTGTGGAAGTTGAAGTCTAAAACACCTGGAAAGCCCAAGTTTGCCCATGCTTGGATTAGAGACTGTGTCACTGTAACTGTAATTACAATTGTAATTGTAATCACCAGAAGCTCCTGTTTATCTGAATAGTGGAATCCATTTTTTCCACCCTGTGAATACAAGATTAAAAACTAGCAGGAATCCTCGTTGAAAGAGCAGATCAAGGATCAAAATTACAGTACAAGTCTATAGTTTAGATTTGTCAAAACAACTGGGAATCCAAAAATGTGTTTCCAAAAAGCAAGGGATGTCTTTGTTTGTTTCCTACATTTCTATCATGAATTCCCTGCAGGGACTGACACACACATGGTTACACTTTTCAATCCTATGAGATTAAGTTAGACTGCCAGTTTCACAGGTAATGGAAAAACCACTACAGTAGAAGCTGATCCCCAACTCCATTATGTCTCTAACAGTTATTAACATTGGATTGCTGTGAGTTTTCCAGGCTGAATGGCCATGTTCCAGAAGCATTCTCTCCTGATGTTTTGCCCACATCTATGGCAGGCATCCTCAGAGGTTGTGAGATTATTAGCATTCGTTGCTGATGTGAGGAAGAACTAGGATGTCTTCAAAGTTTTCTGCCAATGTTATCTCTTTATTATTTATTTACTAGCTGTCCCTGGCCACGAGTTGCTGTGGCCCAGTCTGTGTACGTGTGTGTATATATGTGTGTATATGTGGTTTTGCACATGCGTTGTATTATATTATTTATTTTTTGGCTTTTTAAGTCCCTTCTGCTGTGTTTTTCAGTGTTTTTATGAGTGATGGTGGAGCCCCCGGTGGCGCAGTGGGTTTACCCCTGTACCGGCAGGACTGAAGACCGAGAGGTTGCAGGTTCGAATCCAGGGAGAGCGCGGATGAGAGTCAACTCCAGCTCCCCATCCGGGGACATGAGAGAAGCCTCTCACAAGGATGGTAAAAACATCCGGACGTCCGCTGGGCAACGTCCTTGCAGACGGCCAATTCTCTCACACCAGAAGCGACTTGCAATCTCTCAAGTTGCTGCTGACATGACCAAAAAAATGAGCGATGGTCACTCATTGGCCTGATAGGTGTCTTGGATCCAAATTTGGTGTCAATTCGCCCAGTGCTTTTGGAGTTATGTTAATCCCACAAACAAACATTACATTTTTATTTATATGGATTTATTTACTATATTTATATACTGCCCTTCTCAGCCCGCAGGTGTCTCAGGGCGGTTTACAGTCGGCACCAAAACCATAAAATACAATTAAAACATTAACATAAATATAAAATCAATAAAAACATGTATCATTAGGGTCTCTTGTTAAAAACATTGTCCAGTCACATCGTCCGGTCGTTCTTTACCTGAGCCATAGTCTGCTGGGATCTCTTTTTCTTCTGAAACAGGCTCTGGAATCCAAGGATCTCCTCCATGGATCACTTCTGATTTGGGAACAAAAAATCCTGCTTGGGAAGCAAAGACAAAGGTGAAATTGGAAACGTTTTGAAAATGGGTGCCTTTTCAGTGCTGACAATCCTTTCATTCCACCATCCCACACATTTTTGCACTATGTTCTGTGATGATGGGACTGTTTGGCCCCACAAGGTCAGAAGCTACACTGAATCTGAAGTGAAATCACAAATGAAGTTTGATCGTTTTGTTTTTCCTGGTGGCTAAAGATTCTGCAAACATTTTACAGCTGTATTGTGTTGTTATTTAGGTCTTGAGCTGAAAAGAAGAGCTCCACGTGCTCTTGTTAACTAAAGGATGTAAATAAGCCAATAAACTTCAAGATTCACTGGACATTCCCTGTTTTGGTGCATTATTTTCAAGGCTTCACCTACTTTAGCACAACTTTTCTGTGGTGACAAGACTGGATGATGCTGTGAGACAAGATGCTATGACAGTATTCTACTGTCAGAATCTCCCAAGTCAGACAGGCCAAAGTAAATACTGCTGTGATCTTGGTTTTTTTTTAAATCCTATTTATTTGTTGTCTGCGTTATTGTTGCTATTATAATTTTATAAGGGCTATGTTTTTGGAAAACCACATTGAAAACCATTTAAAATTATTATAAACATCCCATATGTTCTCCATTTTTGTGGGGTTAGGGAGTGCAGGACCCCTATGAAATTGGAAAAAAAACAATTTAAAAAGATCTATTTTTTAAATCTGAAAGCATATCTCTAGGAACATGATTCTGTGGTCAGTTTGTACAGGAAGCTGGCCATAGGCTCATGTTGGAAGTCCTATAAAAGCTTAAGGTCCTTGGGTGCAATTCTGTGGTAAATTCTGCAATGTACTACAAATTGGTGGTAGTAGTAGTAGTAGTAGTACTAGTAGTAATAATAATAATGATAATAATAATAATCTTTATTTATATCCCGCTACCATCTCCGAAAAGGGACTTGGGCAGTTTCCAAGAACACTCCAAGTGCAGTATATCACATAAACAATACATGAATATAAAACAATATCACATAAAAATTATAAAAACCGCCACTATCAACACATAAAATAAAATAACACAATTTAAAAATGCAGAGCATCTGTTGTTAAAACTAGCTGCCATCAATTCACAACTAAAGTGCCAGAGTATCAACCTCATATGTGCCCATTTCAGCCTACCATAAATATCCACACTGCCAATAACTGCTTCTTTCTTTACACAAAATTTGACATAGACTGGTACTGCCAGTTGTTCACATATCAGCATTGGCCCACAAATCAACACTTTCAAGTAGCACTGATTTAGAGCAGTGGTTTCCAAGCTTTCTTCTTCCAGGTGTTTTTGATTTCATTTCCCAGAAGTCCCAGATAGATTGACTGATACCAGGAATTCAGAGAGCCAAAGCCCAGAACCCATGGAGGAACAAGGGCTGGAAACCACAGATCTAGAGAACTCATTGACAGGATAAGATCTGAATCCTGGACAGCCTTTTCCTAGTACCTCACGCATGACTCATGCTCATTAAAGACAGTGCCATAACCATCCTAGGCCTGAAATCGTTTGGCATGCCTCCACAATATCTGTCCCTCACCTGAATGAGAACCTAGGAAAGTCTCCTTTTCTTCTGATACTTGAGTCTGTGGGACCCATGGTTCCTCTTCTTCATCTTCAAGCTTTACTGTCACACTAGGAAATTCTAATCAAGAGGAAAGAGAATTTATTACATTATGTAACAAAATATTTAAAAAATATATGTTCCTGGTTTGAAAGTGTTATTCCCATTTAATTATGCAGCACTTACTTTGAAATTGCAGCCCAGCTGGAAATCTATCCCCCACAGATATTGAGGTCTTAATGTAAATGTTTTGATCCCAGAAATTTGTTTTTAACAGTCGGACAGAGTTCCCAGATTTTCTACTTTGGAACTGATTCCTGGTTTTTATTTAGGAAATTTCAGTGAAGACATTTTGTGGGTGAATAAAAGGAACCAAAGCAATGATTCCAACCAGGAACAGACCAATGTCAGGGTTTCAGAAAAGAGAGAAGTTTTCCTCTGAGCTCCCCAGTTTTTAGCCCCCAAACAAGATGCAGATCCTTACCGAAGGATGCCATGCTCCTGAGATTCTCTTTCATCAGAAACAGGATTAAATTTCATCAATTTGGATCAGAAGCAAGTTGTTCCTTCATGAAACACCAACAACCACATCCTCAAAAGACACCTTGAAACAAAAAGAAATATTTTTACACTTGGAGCCCAATCTCATCACCATTACTGCAGATGTAAAGATGTGTTAGGTATTAAATATTTATTTATATATAGCATTTCTACCCCAAACTGCAGTTAGCCCTCTGCATTTACTGGCATGGGCACAAATTCATGAAGGATACTGAAAAACTAGAACACGTCCAGAAAAGGGCAACCAAAATGATCAAAGGTTTAGCCCTACAAGTTGCAATTTAGGGATATGGGTATGTTTGGCTTAGAGAAAAGAAGGCTGAGAGGGGACATGAGAGTCATGTTTAAACATGAGAAAGGATATCAAATTGAGGAGAAAGAAAGCTTATTTTTGCTGCTTTGGAGATTGGACTTGGAGCAATGTATTTAAATTGCATAAAACCAGCTCTCATTTAATTTTTAAGGTGCTAGAAGATCTGTTAAGTGTACTAATATTCCAAACTAAGACGGTTATGCCTTTGAATGCCTAATTTTATTATAAAGTTTGTAGCCTTGGTTGGCCCCTCTTTCTTTTTCCTTCCATTTTACCAAACAAAATTGTCTTCTCTAAGCTTTCCTTTCGTCTCATGATGTGGCCAAAGTACTTCATCTTGGCCTCTATTATCCTTTCCTCCAATGAACAGTCGGGCTTTATTTCCTGAAGTATGGACTGGTTGGATCTTCTTCCGGTCCAAGGCACTCTCAGAATTTTCCTCCAGCACCACAGTTCAAAAGCGTCTATCTCCCTTCACTCAGCCTTCCTTATGGTCCAACTCTCAAATCCATAGGTTACTACGGGGAATGCCATTGCTTTTAACTATGCGGATCTTCATGCCAGTGTGATGTCTCTACTCTTCACTGTCTTATTCCCTCTTATTCCATTTTCAGTGAGTATTCTAGGGCAGGAAATATAAAACTTATCTGAGGAAAAATTACCCATCTTTATCTTGAGGGATATCATGTGGAAAATATAGAAAACTTGTTTTTGATTGCTATAAAAGGATTCAAAGAAAACAAATTCCTACTAAAGACTAGAAATAACTCCCTGATAGTAACAGTTGTTTCACAGTGGAATTGATTCCCTCAGAAGATGGAAGACTCTTTTGTTAGTGGTTTTAAAACTCAAGTTAGTTGCCATCTTCTACCATTGTGTCAAATTTATTGTTCATCAACTCAGCAAGAAAATCCTCTACCTCAGCTGGCTCCAGGTCGGCATTGCTTTGGAAGTATTGTTCCACAGTGCCAATCATCCATTCTGCTTTTTCTTGGCTGTATGCCCCTCCAAAACCATTTTCAACAGAAATCTGCAGGATGGGCCGGCTGCCCAGCAGGGCCTCCATGCCTTGCTCGAAGAGGTCAAATGGCTCCGCGCTCAGCCCCGCCATTTATTTATTTATTTATTTATTTGGGGTGCTTCTACCCCACCCCTCTCAACCCCCTAGGGGGAACTCAGGGCGGCTTACAAAAGGCACAATTTGATGCCCGACAATTCACAAAAATACAATATACAGAATTACCATATAACATCAACAATTATAACTAATTAAAACAATCAAACAATACAGTCGCAGCAATAAAATCATATTGTGGTCAATGTTCGCCAATTCATAAATCCATGATCTGTTTAGCATCGTCATTGTCCTTTCCTACTCTGGTCGTCATTGTCTTTTGGCCAACTGCCAGCTTACCCGAAGGCCTGGTCCCACATCCAGGTTTTTAACTTCCTTCTGAAGGAGAGGAGGGACGTTGATAACCTAAGGAGAGGAGGGATGTTGATAACCTAATCTCCCCGGGGAGTGCATTCTACAGACGAGGGGCCACCACCGAGAAGGCCCTGTCCCTCGTCCCCACCAGCCTCACTTATGATAAAGGTGGGGCCGAGAGCAGGGCCTCCCCAGAAGATCTTAAACTCCAAGGTGGGACGCAGAAGGAGGTACGCTGGGCCGGAGCCGTAAAGGGTTTTGTAGGTCAAAACCAGCACTTTGAATTGTGCTCGGAACTGGATCAGCAGCCAGTGGAGCTGACATAACAGGGGGGTGGTATGCCCCCTGTATGACGCTCCGGTGAGTAATCTAGCCGCTGCCCGTTAGACTAACTGAAGTTTCCGAACAGTCTTCAAAGGCAACCCCATGTAGAGCGCGTTGCAGTAATCTATTTGGGATGTAACAAGAGCGTGGACAACTGTGGCCAGATCCTACTTCCCAAGGTACGAGCGCAGCTGGCGCACAAGTTTTAATTGTGCAAAAGCTCTCCCGGCCACCGCTGAGATCTGGGGTTCCAGCTCAGCGATGAGTCCAGGATCACTCCCAAGCTGCGAACCTGAGTCTTCAGGGGGAGTGTAACCCCATCCAGCACAGGCTGTAACCCTATGCCCTGTTCGGTCTTACGACTGACCTCTGTCTTGTCTGGATTCTACTACCTCTGTCTTGTCTGGATTCAATTTCTCATCCAGTCCGACACAGCGGCCAAGACCAGTTCAAGGTCTGGACAGCCTCCTTGGTAACAGGTGAGAAGGAGTGACAGATTTGGACATCATCTGCATAGAGATAACATCTTAGTCCGAAACTCCGGATGATCTCCCCCAGCAGCTTCATGTAGATATTAAACAACATCGGGGACAGAATTGATCCCTGGGGGACCCCACACGACAATGGTTGTGGGGCTGAACAGGTGTCGCCCAATAACACCTTCTGGGACCGTCCCTCAAGAAAGGACCAGAGCCACTGCAAGGCAGTACCCCCAAATCCCATATCTATGAGGCATCCCAGAGGATACCGTGGTCAACGGTACCGAAGGTCACTGAGAGGCCAGCAGAACTAACAGGGACACACTCCCCCTGTCAAGCTCCCGGCGAAGATCATCTACCAAGGCGACCAAGGCTGTCTCAGTTCCATGTCCCGGCCTAAAGCCAGACTGTGCCGGATCTAGATAATCAATGTCTACCACCACATGACAAGCATCAGGCAGGCAGGCAGGGGTTGAAATTCATTTTGTTAGTTTTGGCCCAGGTCTCTAATCTGTTAAGGTCATTTTTGTATTCTGATCTTCTGGATTGTTAGCACTCCCTCCTGATTTGGTGTTATGATAAGCACACCCTCCAAATCTTCATCCAAGTCCCTAATAAAGATGTTGAACAGTACTGGGAAGTTTCTGACACAGTAAGATCTGTTTTTCTATAGCTCGAGAGAGGGGTTCCTTCTGGAGTGTGGTAGAGTCTCCTTCTCTGGAGGTTTTCAAGCAGAGGCTGGATGGCCATCTGTCAGGAGTGCTTTGATAGTGTATTCCTACCTAGCAGGAGGAGGTTGGGCTGGATGGGCTTTGAAGTCTCTTCCAACTGTTTCTAAATACAGCCGCCTTCCTCCTCCTCCTCCTCCATCTCCAATGCCAAACCCTTCCTCACCCTTACATTATTAAGGCCAGATCTCCCAAGCCAATTCGGATCAATTGAACAAACCTTTAAGTATTAAAATCCTGTTTTTTAAAAAACAGACTCATCAAAAGCTGAAGGAAGTAAAAAAATGAAATTTGTATTTTATCCAAGGGAAAGTGGGTTGAAACACATGCACCTAACACAATAGCAGCTTCATAAGGATACTCACTGAACTTAATCCAGATTCAGAGCTTCTGAAGAGCTCCGCGTCAGCTCTCAAGACTTCAGAGCAGCCGGGTTAATTACAGGATCTGTAATTTATTTATTTTTAACGAGGGCGGAAGGAGGGACGGGGGACAGCATTGAACGCTGCACTGCTCCCTCCTTTGTGGCTGCTTCCGCTTTGGGTCATGTGACAGAACCTGGCTCTGCCGCCTCGGCCAATCAGGAGCCGGGACGGAAGGGAACGCGAGGCTGTGGAAGCTGTATTCTGAATGGAAGGAACAGCGCTCTTGTGCGCATGCGCGTTGGCAGACCCGTCCCACTGCTTGAGAGCTGTATTCTGAAAGGGGTGAAGGGCGCTCTTGTACGCATGCGCGTTGGCAGACCCGTCCCACTGCTTGAGAGCTGTATTCTGAAAGGGGTGAAGGGCGCTCCTGTGCGCATGCGCGTTGGCAGACCCATCCCACTTCTTGGCCTCCCAGGCTGTGGGAGCTGTATTCTGAAAGAGCTGAAGGGCGCTCTTGTGCGCATGCGCATTGGCAGACCCATCCCACTATTCTGAAAAGGATGAAGGGCGCTCTTGTACGCATGCGCGTTGGCAGACCCGTCCCACTGCTTGGCCTCCCAGGCAATGGGAGCTTTATTCTGAAAGAGCTAAAGGGCGCTCTTGTACGCATGCGCATTGGCAGACCCATCCCACTATTCTGAAAGGGATGAAGGGCGCTCTTGTACGCATGCGCGTTGGCAGACCCGTCCCACTGCTTGGCCTCCCAGGCTATGGGAGCTTTATTCTGAAAGAGCTGAAGGGCGCTCTTGTACGCATGCGCATTGGCAGACCCATCCCACTGTATTCTGAAAGGGATGAAGGGCGCTCTTGTACGCATGCGCGTTGGCAGACCCGTCCCACTTCTTGGCTTCCCATGTTGTGGGAGCTGTATTCTGAAAGGGCTGAAGGGGGCTCCTGTGCGCATGCGCATTGGCAGACCTATTCCACTACTTGGCCTCCCAGGCTGTGAGAGCTGTATTCTGAAAGGAATGAAGGGCGCTCTTGTGCGCATGCGTATTGGCAGACCTGTCCCACTTCTTGGCTTCCCAGGTTGTGGGAGCTTTATTCTGAAAGGGATGAAGGGCGCTCTCGTACGCATGCGCGGTGGAAAATCCAACCCACTGAGTTCAATGTGGAATGTATTGCTATGTAAATAGGAAGTTTTAAGCTGTTTTCAAGTTTTCCTGTAGCATAACAAAGGAGCAAAGAAAGGGATGGAAATAAGGATAGGAAATGTTGCAGAACTTTTAAGGCTTTCAATAGAACAGTTAATCTTGAGACTAAAGCCAGTTAACTCTTAAGACTGAAAGCTAGTTAGTCTTAAAGGTACACTCACCTTTTATTTCTCTTGAGATTAAAGCCAACGAAGACTAAAAGCTATTTTGTCTTAAAGGTACCTTTCCTTTCCCTTTTCTTTCTCCCTCTTTTTATATAACTCACTAGCCCATTTCTTATTCTTTTGTATGAAGTCTAGATTGTTTCTGAATTTTGTGTCAAAGCAGCTAATAATAGTGGAAGTTCAATAATAATAATAATAATAATAATAAATTATTTATTTATTATCTACTAGCTGTCCCCTGCCTTGCGTTGCTGTGGCCCAGTCTGGTGATCTGGAAAATAAAGTAATGAGAAAGCGTTGGTTTCTAATATATGTAATTCCTTTATTCTTGTGCGTAAACAGTATTTCTTCTTGTTTCTTTGTCAGTGTTGATGTGGAGAGTGTCTGGTTTGCCTACTCTGGAATATGCAACATATAATTGTCCTTCTTTAGGGGTCTCTTTCAAATCTGTGATACTATATCTGTGTGTGTGTGTGAGAATCATTGTTGTTGTTCATTCGTTCAGTCGTCTCCGACTCTTCGTGACCTCATGGACCAGCCCACGCCAGAGCTCCCTGTCGGCCGTTACCACCCCCAGCTCCTCAAGGTCAGTCCAGTCACTTCAAGGATGCCATCCATCCATCTTGCCCTTGGTCGGCCCCTCTTCCTTTTGCCTTCCACTTTCCCCAGCATAATTGTCTTCTCTAGGCTTTCCTGTCTCCTCATGATGTGGCCAAAGTACTTCAACTTTTGTCTCTAGTATCCTTCCCTCCAGTGAGCAGTCGGGCTTTATTTCCTGGAGGATGGACTGGTTGGATCTTCTCGCAGTCCAAGGCACTCTCAGAACTTTCCTCCAGCACCACAGCTCAAAAGCATCAATCTTCCTTCGCTCAGCCTTCCCTAAGGTCCAGCTCTCACATCCGTAGGTGACTACAGGGAATACCATGGCTTTGACTATGCGGATCTTTGTTGCCAGTGTGATGTCTCTACTCTTTACTATTTTATCGAGACTGGACATCACTCTCCTCCCAAGAAGTAAGCGTCTTCTGATTTCCTGGCCACAGTCTGCATCTGCAGTAATCTTTGCACCTAGAAATACAAAGTCTGTCACGGCCTCCACGGTTTCTCCCTCTATTTTCCAGTTGTCAATCATTCTTGTTGCCATAATCTTGGTTTTTTTGACGTTTAGCTGCAACCCGGCTTTTGCGCTTTCTTCTTTCACCTTGATTAGAAGGCTCCTCAGCTCCTCCTCGCTTTCGGCCATCAGAGTGGTGTCATCTGCATATCTGAGGTTGTTAATGTTTCTTCCAGCAATTTTCACCCCAGCTTTCAATTCATCAAGGCCCGCACATCGCATGATGTGTTCTGCATACAAGTTAAAAAGGTTGGGTGAGAGTATGCAGCCTTGCCAGATGCCTTTCCCAATCTTGAACCAGTCTGTTGTTCCGTGGTCAGTTCTGACTGTTGCTACTTGGTCCTTGTACAGATTCCTCAGGAGAGAGACAAGGTGGCTTGGGAAGCCCATCCCACTAAGAACTTGCCACAATTTATTATGATCCACACAGTCAAAGGCTTTAGAATAGTCAATGAAGCAGAAGTAGATGTTTTTCTGAAACTCCCTGCCTTTCTCCATTATCCAGCGTATATTGGCAATTTGGTCTCTCGTTCCTCTGCCTTTTCTAAACCCAGCTTGAACATCTGGCAACTCTCTCCATGTATTGCTGGAGTCTTCCTTGCAGGATCTTGAGCATTACCTTACTGGCATGTGAAATAAGGGCCACTGTACGGAAGTTTGAGCAGTCTTTCGCATTTCCCTTCTTTGGTATGGGGATATAAGTTGATTTTTTCCAGTCTGATGGCCATTCTTGTGTTTTCCATATTTGCTGGCAAATGGCATGCATCACCTTGACAGCATCATCTTTTAAGATTTTAAACAGTTCAGCTGGGATCCCGTCGTCTCCTGCTGCCTTGTTGTTAGCAATGCTTCTTAAGGCCCATTCAACCTCACTCCTCAGGATGTCTGGTTCTAATGCATTCACCACACCGTCAAAACTATCCTCAATATTATTATCCTTCCTATACAGATCTTCTGTATAGTCTCGCCACCTTCTCTTGATCTCCTCAGCTTCTGTTAGGTCCCTGCCATCTTTGTTTCTTATCATACCAATTTTTGCCTGAAATTTACCTCCAATGTTTCTAATTTTCTGGAAGAGGTCTCTTGTCCTTCCTATTCTGTTGTCTTCTTCCACTTCCATGCATTGCTTATTTAAAAATAGTTCCTTATCTCTTCTGGCTAACCTCTGGAATTGCGCATTTAACTGGGCAGATCTCCCCTTATCCCTGTTTCCTTTTGCTTTCCTCCTTTCTTGGGCTACTTCCAGTGTCTCAGCAGACAACCATTTTGCCTTCTTGGTTTTCTTTTTCTTCGGGACATACTTTGTTGCCGCCTCCTGAACAATGTCTCGGACTTCTGTCCATAGTTCTTCTGGGACTCTGTTTACTAAATCTAGTCCTTCAAATCTGTTCTTCACTTCCACTGTATATTCGCTAGGAATGTTAGTGAGATCATATCTAACTGGTCTGTGTATTTTCCCTGATCTCTTTAGTTTTATTCTAAATTGGGCAATAAGAAGTTCGTGATCTGAGCTACAGTCAGCCCCAGGTCTTGTTTTCACCGACTGGATGGATGTCCGCCACCTTCGGCTGCAAAGGATGTAGTCAATCTGATTTCGGTGTTGACCGTCTGGTGAGGTCCATGTGTAAAGCCGTCTTTTAGGTTGTTGGAAGAGAGTATTCGTTATACAGCGAGTTTTCCTGGCAAAATTCTATCAGCCTGCGTCCCGCTTCATTTTGTTCTCCCAGACCATGCTTGCCTGTGATCCCAGTTGTCATTTGACTTCCCACCTTGGCATTCCAGTCTCCTGTAATGAAAATAATGTCTCTTTTTGGTGTATTATCCAGTAGGTCCTGCAGATCCTCATAGAACTGATCTACTTCTGCTTCTTCAGCAGCTGTGGTTGGGGCGTATATTTGAATCACTGTAATGTTGAAAGGCTTTCCTTGCACTCGAATTGAGATCATTCTGTCATTTTTTGGGTTGTATCCAAGCACCGCTTTAGCGAATTTCTTATTAATTATGAAGGCTACTCCATTTCTTCTATGTTCCTCTTGTCCGCAGTAGTAGATCTGGTGGTCTACTAGGGATAGTTTGGCCCAATTCTATCGTTGGTGGGGTTCGTTTTTTTAATTTTTTGATAACTTTATTGAAATTTTACAAACTAATAATTAAAAGAGGGGATGATAAGGGTATAATAAAGGTCAAAGGGAAGGGAAAGTAGGGGGGAAGGGGCAAAAAGATATGGTAGAGGGAGGTGTGTTTGGGAAAAGCAAGGAAAGGAGGAAGAGGGAAGAAAAAAGTCTTGGCTTCCCAATTTTCGTCCCTGCGTCTTTTTCTTTAATGTTATTATTGGCAGCATAGTGTGCATGCGCAGGAGAGGGCAAGTGTGTGAGGCTGGAGGGAGGCACATGCCAGCGAGTCCCTTCAAGGCAGGGGGGTAACATGTGGGAAGTTTGGCCCAATTCTTTTGTTGGTGGGGTTCAGAATGCTCTTTGATTGTAGGTGAACTATACATCCCAACAACTACAACTCCCAAATGTCAAGATCTATTTTTCCCGAACTCCACCACTGTTCACAATGGGGTATATTGAGTATTGGTGCCAAGTTTGGTCCAAATCCATCATTGTTTGAGTCCACAGTGCTCACTGGATGTAGGTGGACAACAACTCCAAAACTCAAGGTCAATGCCCACCAGACCCTTCCGGTATTTTCTCTTTCCCATTTCTGTGTGCCAAGTTTGGTTCAATTCCATTGTTGGTGGAGTTCAGAATACCCTTTGATTGTAGGCGGACTATAAATCCTGGCAACTACAACTCCCAAATGACAAAATCAATCCCCCCACCCAATCCCAGCAGTATTCAAATGCAGGTGTATCGGGTATTTATGCCAAATTTGGTCCAATGAATGAAAATACACCCTGAATATCAGATATTGACATTACGATTCAGAACAGGAGCAATGAAAATAATGTTATGGTTGGGGAACTGTATTAAGGGGTCATAGCATTAGGAAGATTGAGAAACCACTGCTCTACTGAAATGCCTCTGTTTACATATCATAGGATGCAATACTTATGTTCGTTGTAAGACTTGGGATTTCAGTTTTCATTTCCTTCTGCTTCTCAGTCGGGAAATCTAAGATGCCTCTGCTTACATATCATAGGATGCAACACTTAACCACCCTTTGTATAGTATAAGGTCATGATGGTGAACCTATGACACTCGTGTTAGCACTGACATGCATGGCTATTTTTGATGACACGCAGACACAGAGAAGTACACCTTATAAGAGCCAAACTAATTCCATCCTTAAGTTTGTAAAAGGCTCTACAAATTTAACATCTGCACATTTGAGCATTGTTCACTCTATAACTCAGCATACATTTTTCTTATTTAAACTATAAATATTGCCATTTTTTTCTTGAAGTGACACCCCACCCAAGCTATGCTCAGGTTTTTGGCGAATTTTGACACACCAACCGCAAAAGGTTGCCCATCACTGGTATAAGGCATACTCACAATTTTGCTTGTACAAAATTAAGGCTTTTATTTTTGTTTTGTTTTTTTTTAAAAAAAATCATAAATACACAAGATAGTACAATCCTAAATATGCCTAAGGTATGAATGAAGCATTTTATGTTGCTAAAGTTTGGATTTGAAATTAAAAATAAGTATTGCATATAAATCCTCCACTCAATCTGCTTTTTCCTAGAAAACAAACCCAACATTTTATCCCCCATGGCTTTCACGTCTCCAGAAATGCTGTCTCTGCAATTGAATCTAGAATATGGAGTCTAGATCCGCCTCCTCCAATGTGGCGCACACCAGATGTGTTGGACTACAACTCCCATCACTCCTGAAATGGCATGGCTGACTTTTTAAATAAACTGAACATCTGTTGGGGGTGTTTTGAATGCAATTTTCCTGCTTCTTGGCAGAATGGGGTTGGACTGGATGGCCCACGAAGTCTCTTCCAACTCTATGATTCAATTCTCAAGCCTCCTCTTCACTCTAGCAGAAGGTCGTAGAACAGAAAATGCCAGGATTGTGGAAGAATAAAAGATAAACACATTGCAAATTAAAATTGCAGCAGTAGACATTCTCTTGGCAAATAACAGCCAACCTTAAAACAAAGCAGCCCTTTCTGCTGCAGTGGAGGATGATTAGTCGCAACTGGACCAAAAGAGTTGATTTAACTTTTATTTTCCGCTCTGCTGGAAAGTTAAGTGGAAGGCAATGCTGGTGATAAAATATCGGCCATTGTACTGCAAATTATTTTTTTAAAAAAAAATCCAAATCTGGGTTTTGCAAATAATAGTAAGAAGGTAAGAAGAGCCAGTTTTTGAGAGGTTTTTTTTCATGTCAGGAGCAACTTGAGAAACTACAAGTCGCTTCTGGTGTGAGAGAATTGGCCATCTGCAAGGATTTGCCCAGGGGACACCCGGATGTTTGATGTTTTACCATCCTTGTGGGAGGCTTCACTATTGTCCTTACATGGGGAGCTGGAGCTGACAGAGGGAGCTCATCCATGCTCTTTCCAGAGTTGAACCTCCGACCTGTCAGTCTTCAGTCCTGCTGGCCCAAGGGTTTAACCCATTGCGTCACCGGGGGACTCCTAGAATCGGGTTGGGGGCAAGGAACATGCCAACCTCTTGATGTTGAACTATAACTTCTATTCTGGAAGTTGCAGTCCATCAGCATCTGGCATGTTCCACAGTTTTCTTCTGAAACTTAGGAGGCCTGCATTTTCTAACTTCTTTTTCATAGAGAAGTTGGTTTTTTTAGCCTTTCCCCGATTCTACCATCCTCTTTTGATGAGAAATGGGGAATGGGGATCAGTGGCTGTGCAGCTATACTATTCTTGGGCTCAAAGTCCCTAAGTTCATTAGGATATTCTATTGTTTATGTATCCACTTGACATCTGGGAACATGGATGGAGCCGCAGTGGTGCAATGGGTTAAACCCTTGTGCCAGCTGAACTGCTGATCTGAAGGTTGGCAATTTGAATTCACGAAATGGGGTGAGCTCCCAACTGTCAGCTCCAGCTCATGCAGGGACTTACTGCTGTAGAATCCTAAGAGTTGTAGTTTTACAAGGTCCTTACCCTCACCAAACTGCAACTCCCAGGATTCCATCCTATTGAATCATGGAAGTTAAAGTACCCATGGCGGTGCAATGGGTTAAACCTTTGTGCCGGCTGAACTGCTTACCTTAAGGTCAGCGATTTGAATCCACGAGATGGGGTGAGCTCCCATTTGTCAGATCCAGCTTTCCATGCAAGGACATGAGAAAAATCTCCCACAAGATGGTAACACATACAGGCGTACCCCGGGCAACGTCCTTGCAGGTGGTCAATTCTCTCACATCAAAAGTGACTTGCAGTTTCTCAAGTCACTTCTGACATGAAAAAAATAATAACTTGGGAACATATCCGTTGTGAATATGAGGGTCGTACGGTTACTTTCAATGGAAGTTCTAAAGTAATTTCATCCACATACAAGGATGTCTTGCAAATATTTTCCTGCTTATGAGAGAAACAATAACACTTTTTAAGATAATGGTGTTAAATTGTTAAGCCCTTGAGGCTCTGTTGTTGTTGTTCATTCGTTCAGTCGTCTCCGACTCTTCGTGACCTCATGGACCAGCCCACGCCAGAGCTCCCTGTCGGCCGTTACCACCCCCAGCTCCCTCAAGGAGGCTCTACCAGACTGGAATCACATGAGTCCCAATCAGCACAGCCAATGGTGAAGGACAATTTGATCTGACCGACTCAACTTATTTCCTGCTTTTTTCCTATGGATGAGACTCAAGGTGGTTTATGACTCTAGAATACCATGAATGCAATTAAAATGCCTGCTTTTTCCTGCTTCTTGGCAGGGCGTTGGACTGGATGAGGTCTCTTCCAACTCTAGGATTCTATGAAAACATAAAATCAAGAAAAGCATACAAATTTAATGCACAACTTGGAAGAAGGGGGAAAAAAAACACCAGTTTCAAAAAGATAGCAATGGGAGTTGCAATCCAATATCATCTGGAGGGATGAGTATCCCTCGAGCCTTTGGTCTGATCTCACCCCATCCATTAGGTGTCTTTTCCTTCTTCTGAGGCTGGTTTCTCCATCAGAGGAGACTCTTTTGGGGGACTTCCAGGACTCCCCTTAGTAGGCAACTGGGAAGGGGATGGCGTGGTACTCTCTCGTACAAGCATTACAGGCGTGCCATCTCTAGAAGCCTCTGAGGAGGATTGTGGAGTAGCCACTTGGCCACTTAATGTGTCTGCAATACGCTCCAACAGAGTTGTTTGCCTCTCCAGGGCGGCAGTATAGCTCTCCATGCACCGCTGGAAGGCGACGTCCGAGTCACGCATGGCCGTGGCCATCGTCTGGCTGGAGTCCCGTATACTTTTGGCAATATGCCTGGCACACCAGAAGGCCACCCGGCGGTCATCTACCCGCCGCTGCGACTCCTTGCTGTCAAGGTCGTAGAGAGCATCCCGAATTTGCTCCCCCGTTTCCTTGGTGGCTTTGATGAGGTCCTTAGCCAGCTGAGCTCTCTCTATTTTCCTCTTGTTCCTGAATCTAGCGGCTCTTTGGGCACTGGTCAACGGGGCATCGCCATCGAAGTCGCCAGGCGGCAGGACGTGGCTCAAGGGGGGTTCGTCACCAACAGTATCGCCACCAGAGTTTGGATCCTTGCACCCCACAATGTCCAAGAGGATAGAGGCTGCATCAGCGTTTTCGAGTGCTTTGCGTTCCTGTTCCTGAATGAGACTTTCAGCTGCAGAGAAGGAGAAATGTCATAATTAGTACTCTTAAATACAGAGCTCTACATCAGTGGTGGGGCAATTCACCATCTAGATCAGCGTTTCTCAACCTGGGGGTCAGGACCATTGGGGAGGGGTCGTGAGGGAGTTTCAGAGGGGTCGTCAAAGACCATAATAATAATAATAATAATAATAATAATAATAATAATAATAATAGTTTTGTTGTGTCAGGAGCAACTTGAGAAACTGCAAGTCACTTCTGGTGTGAGAGAATTGGTCGTCGGCAAGGATGTTGCCCAGGGGACGCCTGGATGATTTGATGTTTTTATCATCCTTGTGGGAGGCTTCTCTCATGTCCCCGCATGAGGAGCTGGAGCTGATAGCGGGAGCTCATCCACCTCTCCCCGGATTCGAACCTGCGACCTGTCAGTCTTCAGTCCTGTCGGCACAGGGGTTTAACCCACTGCACCACCAAGGGCTCCAATAATAATAATAAATTTATTTATATTCACTCTATCTCCCCGAAGGGACTCAGGGCAGATTCCAAACATAAAAGGCAAACATTCAATGTCTGAATACAACAACAATACATCCATACTAATAAAGTATAAACAACCTAACATATAAACACGAATTATGACTTAACAACGAAAATTAAATTAAAAACACAGCCTGTTATATGTTAAATATATGTTATATATATTTCTGATGGTCTAAGGAATCCGTTTGGCAGAGAAGGCTGAAGATCTCGCCACCTGTCTTCTTCCTTTTTGGAAACAGATGGCGAATCCTCCCACCAAAAGCCCTCCTCTGCTGTGACTGGCAGGCCTCTCAGCCAAGGGGAGGGCTGTTTCTGAGAGTCCAAACGGGGAGGGGAGAGCAGGCGTGCTTGGCGCATGGCAGCGTGGCACACATGTGTGGGTGAGGGAGAGCATATGAGGCTGGATGAAAGCTCACACTAGCAAGTCCCTTCAAGCCATGGGGGTTCTATGTGGGAAATTGGTCCCAATTCTATAATTGGTGAGGTTCAGAATGCTCTTTGATTGTAGGTGAACTATAAATCCCAGTAACTACATTCCCAAATGTCAAGGTCTATTTCCCCCAAACTCCACCTGTGTTCATATTTGGGCATATGGAGTATTTGTGCCAAGTTTGGTCCAGATCCGTTATTGTTTGAGTCCACAGTGCTCTCTGGATGTAGGTGAACTACAACTCCCAAACTCAAGGTCAATGCCCACCAAACCCTTCTAGTGTTTTCTGTTGGTCATAGGAGTCCCGTGTGCTAAGTTTGGTCCAATTCCATCATTGGTGGAGTTCAGAATGCTCTTTGATTGTAGGTGAACTATAGATCCCAGTAACTATAATTCCCAAATGTCAAGGTCTATTTCCCCCCAAACTCCACCTGTGTTCATATTTGGGCATATGGAGTATTTGTGCCAAGTTTGGTCTAGATCTATTATTGAGTGAGTCCACAGTGCTCTCTGGATGTAGGTGAACTACAACTCCCAAAGTCAAGTTCAATGCCCACCAAACCCGGAATCACTGGGTTGCTGTGAGTTTTCCAGGCTGTATGACAGTGGTTCTCAACCTGTGGGACCCCAGATGTTTTGGCCTTCAACTCCCAGACATCATAACAGCTGGTAAACTGACTGGGATTTCTGGGAGTTGTAGGCCAAGACACCTGGGGACCCACAGGTTGAGAACCACTGATATAGATGGTGACAATGCTAATGGAGCAAAGTCAAGTCATCTGCAAGTATGGGCTATCTAGAATCATGGAGTCATAAGAAACCTCAAGAGTCATCCAGTCCAACTCCCTTGAATTTCATTGGGTTTTCTTAGGAGTCTTTAGAGTAATGTCTTCTGAATACAATCAATGTTGGTAGAAATATTAAATATTAACTGGGTATTTTTGATTACAAAAGTGTAAATTAATCACAGAAAGAGTGAGTAGGCTGAAGCCTGTTAGTTAGTTCTCCTCAGTGAAGGAACTCCTCAGTCAGTGTGTGAGGTAAACATCTGTATGAGAGAAACTTTGTGTGAGGGAGCTCCAGTGTATGAAGGCTGCTGTGTGTATATAGCTACTATGTATTTATTTATGTTGTGGAAACCTTGTTATTGTAAATAGTACAACTATATTGCTTTACTACAAAGAAAAGCCTCCCATGGAAGAGATAACATTGGGTTGTTGTAAGTGTTTTGGTCTGTATGGCCATGTTCCAGAAGCATTCTCTCCTGATGTTTCACCTGCATCTATGGCAGGCATCCTCAGAGGTTGTGAGGTCTGTTGGAAACTAGGAAAATGGGGTATATATATCTATGGAATAATATCCAGAGTGGAAGAAAGAACTCTTGTCTGTTTGAGGCAGGTGTGAATGTTTCAATTGGCCACCTTGATTAGCACTGAATGGCCTAGCAGTTTCAAGCTCTGGCTTCTTACTGCCTAGGGAAATCCTTTGTTGAGAGGTGATTAGGCGTTCCTGATTGTTTCTTGGTCTGTGTGTTTTTATTCTGTGGCGTAGCTGGCTGGGAGTCAGCTGCATTAAGATCACTACTGACTGAAAGATCATGAGTTTGAAGCCAGCCCTGGTCGGACTGAGCTTCCGACTAATTTGTGTAGCTTGCTGTTGACCTTTGCAGCCCGAAAGACAGTTGCATCTATCAAGTAAGAAATTTAGGTACCGAGTATGCAGGGAGGCTAATTTAACTAATTTATGACACCATAAAAACCTCTAGCAAGCATGCAAAGAATGAGGAAGTACTTCAGAAGTGTCACAAATGGATGGTGAAGTGACAGCTCCCCTGGTGGCCAGAATACACTCATTAAAAAGCTGGTATGTTAAATAGCCTCTGTGTGTCTGTCTATATATGTTGTATGTCTATGGCAATGAATGTTTATAATGTATATGTACATTATAATCTGCCCCAAATCCTCTCCAGGGCGAGAAGGGTGGATGATAATGCAAATAAATAAATAAATAGTTTTTAAATAAATAGATATTTAATTTTTTTATTACTTTGGGCTACTGGTGCTGGGTCACGCTGCTGCTGCTGCTGGACTGCTCTGCTATGCATTTGTGAGGAGGGTCTTTTGTTGTTAAGCCCACATGCCCAACAAACATTACCTACTATTCATGCTGGTCTCTGCTCCAAGTACTAACCAAAGCCAACCCTTCTCAGCATTTAGGATCTGTTCCTTTCAGAATAGTAGAACCATCTCACCTGCAGATAGTGAAAGGACCAAGACAGTGACACCTCCGGCCCATCCCCTGTTAGGATATCAGCCAGTACGCCACGACTTAAAACAAGAAATAGTTTCCTAAGATCTACAGAGACACTCGCTGGAACACTTCAGCAAGCGAGAGTCCAAAAGTGGCAGGCTAAAACCCAGAAACTCAATCAATGGCTGATACCAAATGAGAGACTCCTTCCTGGGCATGCAGAAAACTGGATGATTTGGAAGGCGCTGAACATACTGAGATGCAGAGCCAACCTTAAGAAATGGGGCTACAAAGTGGAATCCACAACATGAGAGTGTGGAGAGGAGCAAACCACAGACCACCTGCTGCAATGCACCCTGAGCCCTGCCACATGCACAATGGAGGACCTTCTTATAGCAACACCAGAGGCACTCCAAGGGGTCAGCTACTGGTCAAAGGACATTTAATAAAATGCCAAGTTTGCAAACTTTGTGTTTTTAAAAATGCAATACAACTGTTTGGTTCACTCCTGACATGATAAATAAATACCTGTAGATAAAGCTCTGGAGAGCGGGCGCTCTTGGTCTCCTTTTTCCCGGTCCAGAATGCTGTCTTCAAGCCCTTGGTAAGAAGAGAAACGGTCTTCCAAAGACTGCAGCAAATCCCCGGGCACATCTTCGGCCTCACCGTACAGGTCCTCTGAGAACTCTGACAGCCCGTTGGGGTCCATCTCGATGCTCGCAGCTTCTGGAGGGTCACCGTCAGCCACAATACTTTTTATGAGCTTCGTGTCAAAGTCCATCTCAATCTTGGCAGTTTCAGGGTTTTCCTCTTCCTCGTCCTCATCCTCCTTTTCTTGTTTGCATTCCACTGAGGCAATGGTGATGCCGTTCTCATCCACGACCCGGACTTCGACAGGCAGGAGAGTACTTGGAAGCACGGCGGAAATCGAGTTGTTTTGCTCATCCTGTGGCTCTTCCTCCTTGATTTTTGGAGTGAGCAGACCCAGGTGGTTTTTGCCCGCCTGTGTCGCAGTCATACTCCCACTGGGAGTGGGGGATGCCTGAGTGAGGCCAAACTTACTATCTGGCAGAAGGCGAGGCTGCTTTTGAGGAGGTGGCTTGCCTTGGGTGGCAGACAGTGAGGATCGTAATACTGGTGCAGCGGTTAACGGTGATCTTGCAACCTGTCCAGAAGTCCCAAGAGCAAGTGGGGAGGTCTGCCTGGCCAGCGCCAGATTCGACTGTCTTTGCCACTGTCCTTTCTCAGAAGCACCGCTTGAGCCAGACTTGGGCGTAGTGTCTCTTTTCTCCAGGATCATGGCTAGTTTGTTGTAGTAAGGCATGACGCTGAGATCGACTCCAGAGCCCTTACTCTGAGTGGTGACTTCCTTGTACTTCTTCTTCAGAGCGTTCATCTTCTCGCGGCACTGACGGGCTGAACGGTTGTACCCGCGCAGCCCCATTTCCGTTGAGAGCCAATTGAAGACGGCCTCATTGTGGTACATGTTCCGGAGTTCATTTTGCACCTCTGGGCTGATCCAGAGGTCAACAAAGAGCCCGATCTCTTCCTTGCTCCAAAATTTGGCCCGCTGCCTTTGGGACTCCTGGGTATCTTTTGCCGTGGCAGTGGGGGCCTGCGAGATGGGAGACGTGCCTGCCAAGAAAACACAAAGGAGATCAAGGTGTATACTGGAGCTTGAAATAACTAGGGAGAAATTGATAGTTAGCTGTCATTCTTATAAACAGCCACTTCTAATTAATCCCTTCTCCCATTAATAGCTTCAAAATCACAGAGTTTGAAGAGAACACAAGGTTATCTAGTCCAACCTGGTACAATGCAAGAACATACATAGCTGTGGGGAACTTGATTTCCTGTAACAAGCTTTTTGAAAAATGTGTTGTTGAAGACTTTCATAGCCAGAATCACTGGATTGCTGTAAGTTTTCCAGGATGTCTTGCCATGTTCCAGAAGCATTCTCTCCTGATGTTTCACCCACATCTATGGCAGACATCCTCGGAGGTTGTGAGGTATACTGGAAACTAGGCAAGGGAAGTTTATATATCTCCCAGGGTGGGAGGAAGGACTCTTGTCTCTTGGAAACAAGTGTGAATGTTGGAATTAATCACCCTGATTAGCATTGAAAAGCCTTGCAGCTTGAAGGTCTGGCTGATTTCTGCCCGGGGGATCCTTTGTTGGGAGGTGTTAGCTGGCCCAGATTGTTTCCTGTTTCATTTCCCTGTTTTCAGAGTTTTGCTCTTTATTTACTGTCCCAATTTTAGAGTGTTGAAATACTGGTAGCCAGATTTTTAAAATTTTCATAGTTTTGTCCTTTCTGTTGAAATTGTCCACATATTTGTGGATTTCCTGTGTAGTCTGACATGGTGGTTGTGAGAGTGGGCCAGCATTTCTGTATTCTCAAATAATATGCTGTGTCCAGGTTGGTTCACCAAATGCTCTGATATGGCTGACTTCTCTGGTTGAATCAGTCTGCACTGCTTTTCATGTTCCTTGATTTGTGTTTGCGTGCTGCTTTGGTGGAATTAAAAAAACAGGGGAATTCCAGACAGGAATCAATCAGGGCCAGATAACACCTCCTAAGAACAGATTTCCCCAGGCACCAACCAGCCAGGCTTTGAAGCTGCTGATCAAGGTGTCCATTTCCAACATTCACACTTGCCTCAAGCAGACAAGAGTTCTTTCTTCTACCCTAGGATTCCCCCAGGTAGCAACCAGCCAGGTTTCGAAGCTGCAAGGCCATTCAATGCTAATCGAGGTGGCCAGTTGCAACATTCACACTTGCCTCAAGCAGACGAGAGTTGTTTCTTCCATCCTGGACATTGCACAGATATATAAACCTCATTTTCCTAGTTTCCAACAGACCTCAAAACCTCTGAAGATGCTTGCCATAAATGTGGGCAAAATGTCAGGAGAGAATGCCATACAACCCAGAAAACTCCCAGCAACCTGTACAATAAAAGCTGGGCATATTACAATTCTAATTTAACTGGGTAAATTTACTCCTTTTGCAATACAATTATTTCTCATGCTGTGTCATGGATGTTGAGGCAATGATGAGGCAGATGAAAGGAATGTTTTGTATCACATGACAGCAGTAGTGCATAGATATTTTAACTGGGAATAACTATGCAGCTACTTTTGAAAAATGATAAAATACCTCTTTAAAAGTCTCTTAGCAATAAGCGTCGGAACCTAAGCTAATTACATTTCAAAGATTACTATGTAAGGTGTAATAGGGATTCCTGGGTCAGTCTTTGGTCCAAGAAGTTTAGAATATATATCTTTTTCAAGGGACAGAGATGCACAAGGTACTTACCCAACGACATCACATTCTGGTAATTCTCCTGCATGACCTCTTTGTAGAGGGCTCTTTGTGTCCAGTTCAAGAGAGCCCACTCTGCTTCCGTGAAATAGATGACCACATCCTCAAATGTCAACGGGCTCTAGGATGAAATCCAAGAGTTGAAACGGACCCAAAGAGCCATTCAGTCCAACCTCATTTTGTCTGACAATAACACACAATTAAAGCATTCTGACAGATGGTTATCCAGCCACTTTTTTAAAACCACCAGAGAAGGAGACTCCACCACATTCTTACCACCAGGAAAATTTGAGTGGAATCTCTTTTTCTCCAGGTTGAATCCATTGCTCTGTATCCTAGTCTTTAGAGCAGCAGAAAACAAATCTGCTCCATTTTCAACATATGAAAATATTTAAGCATGATTATCATGTCCCCTCTCAACCTGCTTTTCTCCAAACTAAGCATACCCAGCTTACTAAACTACTTCTCAAAGGGCTTGTATCTAGATCTTTGACTATTTTGGTCACCCTTTTCTGAACATGGGCCCCTTTGTGGCGCAGTGGGTTAAACCGCTGAGCTGCTGAACTTGCTGACTGAAAGGCTGGCGGTTCGAATCCGGGGAGTGGGGTGAGCTCGCACTGTTAGACCCAGCTTCTGCCAACCTAGTAGTTCGAAAACATGGGCAGAGCTAGGGAAACTTGCTCTTTTTTGGAGTAGAACTCTCAGAATCCTTCAAGGCTGTGTCCTTATACAGAGTAAATGTGAAACACTTATTGTATAGTACTATGATTTCACTGTGCCATGGCCCCATTCTATGGAATCACAGCATTTGGGGGATATTTACTACTGTCAACCAATACTTTGCTAAAGTACAAACTCCAAGATTCCATAGGATGGAACAATAGCAGTTAAAATAGTGGTAATTATAGTGTGACGGGGTTTTTTCATCTATCTAAGCAGTGTTTTGTTTTCCACCAGATAGCTTTCTACCCTCCCCAAACCATAGTAAAAATCCCATTATTCCAAAGGGTGCAATAATGGCAATGCATGCAGCTCTCACTAACAATACCTTGGAGGATTTGATGCCCGAAGCAATTGCCACTTGTTGACCAATGTGAGCTGATTTATAAGGCTGCTAACCCATCCAGGGGTGCATCTTCACAAAGTACCTCAGTACAAAACCCACCAATCGTTTTGGGAACTAAGCCCCACTTACCAGATAAATCTTCTGTTCGTTTTCCCCACCAACGAACAGGGAGGTCATTCCGCAGCCTGTGGAAGCAAACACAGAGACAAGAATGTTATCATGGACAAAGTTTACAAAAAAAAATTGCATCCCATCCCATGCCACAGATATGATTATATTCCATAGAAGGAAAGGGATATTCATCTAAAAGCAACACAACGTCATTAAGCCGTTAAAATGATCTATCCTGGAAGTTTATCTGAAGTCCTCAGGAAGACTTCCAGTGTTGTGTAGGGATTATAGTTCTGGACTAGGAGGTGGCAATGGAAGACAGAGTCTTAACAGGTATTCATCGGGAATGGGAAAGCACCGTGCCCAACAAAAGGGAAAATGTAAAGTCACCTTATCCTCATTTTGACTCCTTCATTTCCCTTTACAATGACACAGTAATACAAATCCTTCCTATTTAATATCTAAGCAAGTGGAAGGATAATTTCAAATGTTGGCTCAGAAAGCTTTCTCAGGATCAGACTTTTTCTTTAAAGATTGGAGCAAATCTAGCAAAGTCAGGGATTTGTTCTACAGACAATGACTATCAATGGTTGGAAGGCAGCACCAGCCCTTGGCAGGACCAATGGGATTTTGGCCTGCATAAATAGGAGTCTAGTACCTAGATCCAGGGAAGTCCTGCTACCCCTCTAATCTGCCTTGGTCAGACCACACCTGGAATCACACTATGTCCAATTCTGGGCATTGCAATTGAAGGGAGATGTTGACTCTAAGCCAGAATGTGTCCAGAAAAGGGTGACTAAATGATCAAGGGCCTGGAGAACATGTTCTATGAGGAGTGGCATAAAGTGCTTGGCATGTTTAGCCTGCAGAAGAGAAGGCTGAGAGGAGACATGATGAGTGCCAGGATTGAGGAGAAGTCATAGGGAGGAGGGACCAAGCTTGTTTTCTGCTGTCCTGAAGACTAGGGCACTGAACAATTAGCTTCAAACTACAGGAAAGGAGATGCCATCTCAACATTAGGAAGAACTTCCTGACTGTGAGAGCTGTTCAGCAGGGGAACTCTCCTCCTTCTTTGGAAGTTTTTCATCAGAGGCTAGATGGTCACCTGCTGGGGGTGCTTTGAATTGGTTTCTTTGCAGGGGGTTGTACTGGATGGCCTCTTCCAACCCTATGATTCCATAAGACCTTTCACATCACACAATTACAGTAGCCCATCCTTTTTCTCTTGGGTGGGGTGTGCAAGACCCCTACAAAACTGGGAAAATAATTTGTCTAGGAATTGCTATTTTCTTTAACCTGAGGGAATACCTCTCAAGGAAACTCTTATTACCAACATCTGTCAGAGGTTGACACCAAAATTGCACTGGACAAACTACAAATACCCAAAGAAGTGTTCTCCCTATGATCTCCATGTTGTCCAGTACAACTTGTCAACATACAGGAGAAGTTGACAGTATTGTTACATTGCAGGACCTAGACCAGGCATCCTCAAACTGTGGCCTTCCAGCTGTTTGGGCCTTCAACTCCCAGAATTCCTGACAATTGAACAAGCTTGTTGGGGTTTCTGGGAGTTAGGAGGCCCAAACAGCTGGAGAGCCGCAGTTTGAAGATGCCTGACCTAGTCTAGAGAGACCATATTGATCAAATCCACAAATAATAAAATCTCATAGGATGTTGCAAAATGCAATCAGTGCTCTAGATGTGTATTGTGAAAGGTCTCAGAGCACTCTAGTTGGTACATGGATGTCTATCTTTCCAATTTTAACAGGACTTCTCTGCACTTTTGGCACACGGAAACTGTAACTATCCAAATGTGCATTAAGATGGGAAGATGTAATCATTTCCACTTACTTCCAAGCCTGGGGAGCCAGCGCTGCGGCGTTTGGGGGCCCTCCTGCTCATTCTGTCGAAGGGGACTCTGGCAACATTGGCCCCAAAATCCAGCCCTGTTGTGGCACCACTGGATCGCAAGGACAAAAACAGACCATTTATACAACTTGAGCTTTCAAATCAATAAGTATGGATTTGCATCAACATGCAGCATCAACAGAAAACAAGAAAACCCACAACTCTGAATATTTGAGCTACAGCAGACACCTACATACACATACACAATACTTCTTTCCTTGCAACATTCAGGAGGACAGACAGTCTTGTACGTTCAGGTAGAACAAGTCTTAATACAAAGGATGATTATTGTTATTGTTATTATTAACTTCACTTGTATACCGCTTTTCTCACCTCAGCAGGGGACTCAAAGCAGTTTCCAACATAATTACGGCAAAATTCAATGCCTCACATACAGAAACCTGACATAATGATAATAACATACAATTAAATCATAAAATGTGGAATTTAAAACATATTAATATAAACATTAAAATCATACAATCCAACAATCGTAGTCCAGGCTATTCCAAGCACATAATCCCTGATCATTCCTTGTACTCCTTAATGCCCAAAGGGTTGATCCCATAGCCAAGCTTTTACTTTTCCTCTGAAGGCCAAAAGGGAGGGCGCTGATCTAATTTAGTTGGGGAGGGAGTTCCACAGACGAGGGGCCACCACTGAGAAGGCCCTGTCTCTCATCCCCACCAGCCCCACCTGTGATGGAGGCGGGACTGAGAGAAGGGCCTCCCCAGATGATCTTAATCTCCAAGATGGTTCATAGGGGGAGATACATTCAGACAGGTAACCTGGGCCGGAACCATTTAGGGCTTTATAAGCTAAAGCTGGCACTTTGAATTGTGCTCAGTAGCAGATGGGCAGCCAGTGGAGCTGCCATAACGGGGGGGGGGGGGGGGGGGGGGGGTTGTTGTATTCTCTCTGTACCCTGCTCCAGTTAGTAATCTGGCTGCCGCTTGTTGGACCAATTGAACCTTCCGAACAGCCTTCACAGGCAACCCCAGATAGAGCACGTTGCAGTAGTCTATACAGGATGTAACCAGAGTGTGGATTACCATGGCCAAATCAGACTTCCTAAAGTACAGACACAATTGGGATGATGGGAGTTGTGATCTAGCAAAATCTGGAAGTCAACAGGTTCCTCCTCCCTAGTGTAATATACAGTCATTCCGCTACGTTGTCTGGGGTAAGAGATACCTCTGGGAAAGTGAAAAACCACAATAAGAAATACTGCTGTCTCTGTAGCATGACTCTGTGCTCTACTTCCACTAAAAGTTGGCCACAGAATTGCACTGGAGGACACAGAGGCTCCTAGAGATGTGTTCTTTCCAGAAATTGCTAGGTTCCTGCGCAGGTTCGCAGCTTGGGAGTTCTCCTGAACTCATCGCTGAGCCTGGAACCCCAGGTCTTGTCGATGGCCAGGGGAGCTTTTGCAAAATTAAAACTTGTGCACCAGTTACGGCCATACCTTGGGAAGTCAGACTTGGCCACGGTGGTCCATTCACTGGTTACATCTCGTATAGACTTCTAGTTTAATATGCAGCAGCCAGGTTGCTAATGGGAACGGCATACAGGAAGTACACCACCCCCCTGTTGTACCACCCCCCTGTTGTATCCATTGGCTGCCGGTTTGCTCCTGAGCCACAATGTGGGTGAAATGTCAGAAGAGAATGCTTCTGGAACATGGCCAGACAGCCCTGAAACCTCACAGCAACCCACTGATTCTGGCCATTAAAGCCTTTTGCTTTGGTTATTTGCAAGAGTTTGCTAAACACTAACAGGGATGATGATGATAGCTACTACTACAGATACACTTGGGATTTTGGGGAGATTCTGGAATACTTGTATTTGCACATCTATATAAATAAAAATGTAATGTTCGTTTGTGGGATTAACATAACACAAAAACCACAGGACGAACTGACACGAAATTTGGACACAATACACCTAACAGTCCAACGGGTGTCCATCACCCATAAACACACACACACACACACACACAAACCCCAGTGGAACAGACTTTAAAATCCCAAAAATACACCATACATACATATACACATACACTCATATACATATACACATGCACACATTCATACACACACATGTATTTATATGCACAAACACACACAGATATACACATATATACAGATATACATATACACATGCACACATTCATACACACACACGTATATATATGCCCATGCCTGTTCTACAACATGGATCATCCCCAGAGAGGGGATGATGGGAGCTGTGATCCAATTTGCCCACAATTTGGGTTGAGGTGCAGAATCAAGGCAGTTTGATGACTGCTTGCACTGCTGTGCAATCCTGGGAGTTGGAGTTGTATCTCCCTCCCAGAGACCTTGTCAAAACTACAACTCCCAGGATCCCCCAGCAGGGAAAACACACACAGATATACACATATACACAAACATACATATACATATATACATATACACATGCACACATTCATATACACATACAGATATACATATACACACATTCATATACACACACATATATATATGCACAAACACACACAGATATACACATATATACAGATATACATATACATGCACACATTCATACACACACACGTATATATATGCACAAACACACACAGATATACACGTATACACAAACATACATATACATATACACAGATATACATATACACATGCACACATACATACACATGCATACACACATACATATCCACATACTTATATACATACAAATATGCATATAGACAAGAACACACATATACACAATATGCATGCACACATATAAACACACAAATACACACACTTATATACACCGCATGCACAAACACATATAGACACAAATATATACACATACATAAACACATATATACACACACAAAACACATATACACAGACTGGGCCACAGCAACGCATGGCAAGGGACAGCTAGTATGTAAATAAAGAGATATTTTGGCGATGAGACCCAGATCTAAACAGGAAATCCATTGATGTTTCATAGTAGACACTTATAGGAGTCAGTCACATACTCTGGAGGCAATCTTATACACAGTATCTTTCAATCGTGTTGCACCTGAAACAAAGTTTGCTTAGCACTGAACCATCAGAAAGCAAAGATGCCACTGCCTGGACAATTTTGGGAATTTGGGAATTCAGGATAAAGTGTGTGTGTGTGTATTAATGGAGAGGGATGCAGATACGCAGGGATGAAGGAACACACACAAAACACATGCACAAAGCATCCTCTGAATACACACATATTCTTTGAGAAAGTTAGAAGCACAACTCTTGAGTGATCAACAATGCAAAATTTGGGGAAAGGGGGAAAGATTTGGGGAAAGGGGGAAAGAAGGAAGGGGAGATACATAGGTCCCAACTCCAGGGAAGGGTCTACAACAGGCATGGGCCAACTTGGGCCCTCCAGGTGTTTTGGACTTCAACTCCCACAATTCCCAGCAGCCGGTAGGCTGCTAGGAATTGTGGGAGTTGAAGTCCAAAACACCTGGAGGGCCCAAGTTGGCCCATGCCTGGTCCACAATATGGGTTGAGGTGCAGAATCCAGGCAGTTTGATGACTGCTTGCATTGCTGTGCAATCCTGGGAGTTGGAGTTGCATCTCCCTCCCTGAGACCTTGTCAAAACTACAACTCCCAAGGATCCCCCAGCAGGGAAAGCGGTTTGAAAACGCATCCGTTCTGCAGTGTGGAAGAGACAAAAGGAAGCCGCACTTACTCCTAATGGAACCCACCGAAGGAACTCGGGGAGTTTTGCTTTTTGTTCAGCAGATGGGCTTGATCCGGTTGGGCTCCACTCAGTGTAGACGGGCTGGCTCCGGAGCAAGGCAGGGAGTGGTGGGATCCATGCCACCGGGTCCTTGGGCCACCTTCCTCTCTCTCCCAAGCACCAAGGCCTTTGCCTTCTCTCCTCCTCCTCCTCCTCTTCTTCTTCTTCCTCCTCCTCTTTGGCTTCTCCTTCTCCTTCTTCCTGCTCCTCCCCAAGCAATCCCTCCCAACCAATGGGAGAAGGATCCACCCTCCTCCCCGCCTGGGATCCTCTCGCTTCTGATTGGCCCCAGGGTCAGTGGAGGCAGGCAGGCAGGCAGGCAGAGAGGGAGGGAGGGGGATCCCCAGCTCAGAAGAAGTGGGTCTCCCCCATTCTTCAGGGGAAGAGCCACGTGGAGAGAAGGAGCTGCACCACGTTGCTTCTCCCATCCACAACAATAGCCTGGGGGTCAATACCTGTTTGTTTACATCCTCCTAAGGAGCATCCACACCTTAGAACGAATGCAGTTTAGCTCCACTTCCACTGTGGAATCACAAGAGTAGCAGTTTTGCAAAATCTTTAGACTTCTCTGCCAAAGAGGGATGGTGCTTCATAGCATCATAGAATCCTAGAGTTGGAAGAGATCTCTTGGGCCAACTAGTCCAACCCCCTGCCAAGAAGAAGGAAAATTGCATTCAAAGCACCCCAGCAGATGGCCATCCGGTCTCTGTTTAAAAGCTTCCAAAGAAGGAGCCTCCACCACACTCTGAGGCAGAGAGTTCCACTGCTGAATGGCTCTCACAGGAATGATAGAATCATAGAGTTGGAAGAGACCTCATGGGACATCCAGTCCAACCCCCTGCCAAGAAGCAGGAAATTTGCATTCAAAGCACCTCAACAGATGGCCATCAAGTCTCTGTTTAAAAGCTTCCAAAGAAGGAGCCTCCATCACACTCTGAGGCAGAGAGTTCCACTGCTGAACGGCTCTCACAGTCAGGAATGATAGAATCCTAGAGTTGGAAGAGACCTCATGGGCCATCCAGTCCAACCCCCTGCCAACAAGCAGGAAATTTGCATTCAAAGCACCCCCGGCAGATGGCCATTCAGCCTCTGTTTAAAAGCTTCCAAAGAAGGGGCCTCCACCACACTCTTGAGGCAGAGAGTTCCACTGCTGAATGGCTCTCACAGTCAGGAATGATAGAATCAGAGTTGGAAGAAACCTAATGGGCCATCTAGTCCAACCCCCTGCCAAGAAGCAGGAAATTTGCATTCAAAGCACCCCGGCAGATGGCCATCCGGTCTCTGTTTAAAAGCTTCCAAAGAAGGAGTCTCTACCACATTCTGGGGCAGGGAGTTCCACTGCTGAACGGCTCTCACAGTCAGGAAGTTCTTCCTCATGTTCAGATGGAATCTCCTTTCTTGTAGTTTGAAGTCATTGTTCCGCATCCTAGTCTCCAGGACAACAGAAAACAAGCTTGCTCCCTCCTCCCTATGACTTCCTCTCACATATTTATCCATGGCTATCATATCTCCTCTCATCCTTCTCTTCTTCATGCTAAACATGCCCAGCTCCTTAAGCCACTCCTCATAGGGCTTGTTCTCCAGACCCTTGATCATTTTAGTCGCCCTCCTCTGGACACATTCCAGCTTGTCAATATCTCTCTTCAATTATTGGACACAATACATGGCCCTCATCATCTCCTCTCAGACTTCTCTTTGTCAGTCAAAACATTTATTTATTTTATTTATTTATTTAGCAATTTTGTATACCGGTCTTCTCAACTCCGTTCCAGTGACAGGCCGGTTTCCAACATCAATATTACAGACAGTCATTAAAACATCATATTCTAAATCACACTAAAACATTAAAATAGCAAAATACAATCATATAATTACAGTAGTCAGTCGTCATCAAAAATCATTATTTGTCATCATCCATCCATGGCTCATTCATCGAATGCCAATCCCCAAAGCCAAGTTTTCACCTGTTTCCTGAACGTTAAGATAGAAGGGGCAGTTCTGATCCCCAGTGGAAGGGAGTTCCAGAGTTGGGGGGCCACCACCGAGAAGGCCCTGTCTCTCGTCCCCACCAGCCGCGCCTGTGAGGCCGGTGGGATCGAGAGCAGGGCCCCTCCAGACGATCTTAGCAATCTTGATGGTTCATGCCCAGCACTTTAAGCCGCTCCTCATAGGGCTTGTTCTCCAGACCCTTTATCATTTTAGTCGCCCTCCTCTGGACACATTCCAGCTTGTCAACATCTCTCTTGAATTATGGTGCCCAGAATTGGACACAATATTCCAGATGTGGTCTAATTGAGGCAGAATAGAGGGATAGCATGACTTCCCTGGATATAGACACTAGACTCCTATAGATGCAGGCCCAAACCCAAATGTGAACACTGGTGGAATTTGGGGGAAATAGACCTTGTTATTTGGGAGTTGTAGTTGCTTGGATTTATAGTTCATCTACAATCAAAGTGTCCCTTGAACCCAACTAACGATAGAATTGGGCCAAACTTCCCACTGAGAATCCCCATGCCTTGAAGGGACTTGCTTGTGCGAGTCACCCTCCAGCCTTGCACCCTCTCCCTCGCCTGCACATGCGCACCACACTGCCATGCTCCGAGCATGCCTGCTCTCCCCTTCCCACTTGGACTCTCAGAAACAGCCCTCCCCTTGGCTGAGAGGCTGGCTGTTGGTGGGAGGATTCACTGTCTGTTTCCAAAAAGGAAGAGAAGGACAGGCAGAGGGAACTTCAGCCTTCTCTGCCAAAGGAGTTCCTAAGACCATCAGAAATAGATGTTTTCTGATGGTCTTTGGTGACCCCACTGAAATCCCCTCGCAACCCCACTGCCCACAAGGGGTCCCGCCCCCCAGGTTGAATAATGCTGTCTTGATGGCACAATGCTATGGATGATATATTATAATTGTTTTATACCACATATCCCTGGTTTTAATGGATGATGTGTATTTTTTAATTTAATGTGTTTTGTTTACTTTTCACTTTTATGGATTGCTTAGTTACTTGTGTTGTTTCTAATTAAATTGGTTCTTGGTTTATTGTTTTGTGATCATTGATTTATTTTTATTATTGTTGCGTTATTTAAACTGTTGTAAATCGCTCCGAGTCCCCTCGGGGAGATGGGGCGGGGTATAAAGTTGTTGTTGTTGTTCTTGTTATTATTATTATTATTATTATTATTATTATTATTATTATTATTATTATTCATGGGAGATGTGTTTTATTTATTTATTTATTTATTTATTTATTTGCATACTTCATTTTACCCCACTCTTCTCACTCTGCAGGAAACTTGTTAGGAACCATGGGAGTTGTAGTCCAGAACTCCTGGATGGCCGAAGTTTGCTCATGTCTGTATTATACTGATCTGATTGTGCTTTTGGTGTCCTTCCATTGAACCATAACTAGCTTTTTGCAATGGAGCCAACTGGCAGACACTGGGGCACATAATTTTAATTTACTTACTAGCAGCCTGGGGAATTATGCTGGGGAAAATGGAAGGAAAAAGGAAAAGGGGCCGACCAAGGGCAAGATGGATGGATGGTATCCTTGAAGAGACTGGATTGACCTTGAAGGAGCTGGGGGTGGTGACGACCAACAGGGAGCTCTGGCATGGACAGGTCCATGAAGTCATGAAGAGTCGGAAACGACTGAACGAATGAACAACAACAACTAGCAGCCTGGGTTGCTGGGAGTTGTAGTACATAAAAAGTACTACTGTTTTTGAGCTCTTTTCAAGTCTCATTTGCATATACTGTCGGCCTTCCACATTCCTAGAGGTTAGAGGTACAGGACCCAGTGGATGCTGATTAAAAACATTGATTTTTAAAAAAAAAAAAACCCTGAAAGGACATTCCTCTGAGAATTTCTAGATCCTTTGTCATGATATAACAACACAAAGAAGCAGTAGTAAATGACACAATTTTTTAATTGAGTAGGTAGTTTAAAATAGTGCAAATGACTTTGCAGGTTATAATTACTAGTGCAAAAGGCAAAAAATATTTAAAATGTTAATTAAAAAAACAACAGCAGCAGGATTAGTTGCAGTCTGCTCTGAGGGCAGTTCTGGGGGGGATGATGAGTCTTGTTAACTATGTGTTCTTTGACTACAAAGCTTGAAATGGCAATTCATGGATGGAATAAAAGGTAGATTACGGTGGGGCCATCTCTCATCCCGCTAAAGAGTCAGTGTTTCAGGTGCATCGCTATGAAGGAGGACTGGAGGGACCCTCTGGTCCAATATTCTGGCTCAGACACGACAGCCATTCTCAGCGAAGGAGGAGAGGAAGCTTTGGAGCTGGGAGCAGGCATTGCGATTCCTGGTGGCTCCACACATTCTGGGGAGAGGAAGCTCCTCCACCCAGGAGTCCTTATCCAGCAGGTACTGGGGGCTGCAACAAAAGAATGGGGTCAGAATGTAGAATTAAGAAGGGTCAGTTTCTATGAAGTCATTATAATTTGACAATATACTCCATATACAGGCACTCCCCAAGATATGAACAAGATAGGTTCTGTAGGTTTGTTCTTAAGTTGAATTTGTATGTAAGTCAGAACAGGTACAATTTTAAAGTGTAACTCCAGCCACACACACATACACATACACATATACTTCGCATAGCATAGGTAAAGGTAAAGGTTTCCCCCTGACATTAAGTCTAGGGGGTGGTGCTCATCTCTATTTCTATTCAAAGAGCTGGCGTTGTCCGTAGACACCTCCAAGGTCATATGGCTGGCATGACTGCATGGAGCACTGTTACCTTCCCGCCAGAGCAGTATCTATTGATCTACTCACATTTGCATGTTTTTGAACTGCTAGGTTGGCAGAAGCTGGGGCTAACAGCGGGAGCTCATGTCACTCCCCATATTCAAACCTGCAACCTTTCAATCAGCAAGTTCAGCAGCTCAGCGGTTTAACATGCTGCACCACCGGGGGCTCCTTGCATGGCATAAGGAAGGGTTAATATCCCTGTGGTGTTTGTTTTGCTGTCTGTGCAAATCTGTTCAGAAGATTTCACCTCACTTTCTATCGCTGTGATCACTGCATTTTGAAAAGTTGGCTTGTTTTGGAAACAAGGACTGGGGATAAAGCTTCAGTGGAGCCATCTTTTCTCCATGAAAGGATTGAATTTCCCTTCCGTGGGGTAGATTTCTCTCACTTCCTGCTGTCTCACCCTCGTTTGTTTAAACAACAACAACTGCGGATTATGCCTGCCCTGTTTGGCACAAGTCTGT